AACCCGGCCGCGCCCACGCACGGAGCGTTGCCAACCTTGTACGACGAAATAATCGTATACTGCCGTATTTCAAAATGTCAGTGTCAATGAAGATACAGTAAATGTTATTGTTATTTGTTATCGATTCTACTTTTAACAGACAACTAGCCCAAAGTAATTCAAAGACAATAAAAAAATCATGAAAAGGTGTTTTTTTTATTTAACTGTAATGGCCAATTAAATGTTTATGATTTCGTCTTAAATGTAAATGCCATCAGTATAAAAGAAAATAATTGAATATGAAAACTATTGAAAATTCAGTTTAATAGGTACTGAATAGTTAAACCTCTAAGAAATTAAGCTAAAATACACACAAGTTCTCAAACACCGAAAACAAATTTAATCGTAATGTCGTAATAAACCAAAACTATTAATTAATACAGTCATCAACCATCGTAACTTTCATAACTAATTCATAGATTTAAAATTAAATGTTCGTCGTTGAATCGTCCAACGTGTACAAATATGACATAGACTAAGTTTCATATCAATTTATAGAATAGCTGTAGAGGCCTAAATCTATTCTAATAGTTTAAACCAAAGCATAGTAGGCCTACTAGTAAATAGTTGCCTAATTCTAAAATGTGTTGAATTTTTTAGTAATATTGTTTCTACATGTTTTAAAACAGTTTGTAAATTGTACACCTAAGCATCACTAGTAAATAATAGGAGAGGATATAATATTCATATAATAAAACGTGACAGGTTTATTTTAATTCACGATTCTTAATCAACGACTTGGCGGAATTTCCTGATTTGAGTGTTGGGTTTCCTTTATATTGCTTTTACAATCGAAATAAACTATACCAAGCCATTGCTCAATTCCCCGTTCCCCGGTACTGAGCTACTCAATAGACAATAGCTTTGTTTTTGGATAAGATCAGGTAATTTTAGCTATGGCCACCATTCATATAAATGATAACAAACAAGAACGACTGGGTTCATTTAGAACCATAAAAACTCCAGACTTTTAAAAAGAAGGCCTACTGAAAGACGTAAAATTAATATTAATAAAAAAAAAAATTAAGAGGATGACCCGAGTCCTAACTAATAGCCTATGTTAACAGAAATTTACAAGTTGTATTTATGCATAGACAAATTTGTAATGCAATCCATGAATACATTAGGCTTCCCACTTTATAATGTATTGATCAATATTTATTAAAATTCAATAGCGATTCTTGTGATTGAGCGTATGTGGCAAATCATACTGCAGGGTTACGAAATTGTTATGTCGTATTTAAAAAAAAATACATTACCACTACAATGTATTTCTATAATGACGTTTAACTTGCAAATTTTATAATGAATTATGGTTCAATTTTACGATTAAAGGTTACAAGCCCAGTATATAAAATACGAACTTAAAAATTTTATTTGCAGAAGTTCACATAATGGTTTTTATTTGAATAAAAGAAACAAATGGTGGACTACGAAAATAGATATTTCATAACATGTAAAAGATCCAAATTAAATGTACAGTATTATCTTTTTGCATCCCAATAAGCTACTATTTAAGTAAGAAAACCTCATACCCCCTTATATTAGTACATTTCTCATCCTTATTGATCAGCTGAAGACAGTTTTATTGTTAGATCTGTCCGGTGCACTGTCATTAGAGGTCGTGTTTTGTTTACAATTGTTTCTTGTTTTCAGTCATTTAAAACCTCGTTTAACCAAAGAAAATGTTCTAATCATAACTAATAACACGTCCCCTAGTTGTATAACCAAACAGTAAAGAACAAATCATAAAGTTAACAATAAAATAATTGAAACACAATTACGTCGACACTGGCGATCAGTGTCACCGGACATGAACTAGACACGAACAACGAGTTTCAAAGTTTACAATGGGATGCAAAGTTTACTTGTGTTGGTTAGTCTGTGATAAGACTATAATGCATTTTCTACCCTAATAATCATAAGAATATTATTAAACATACTTCTGAATATATATTTATTTAGTCGACTACGTTGATCTTAATCCTAATTATTCGTAGGATACGATATTATGGTGCCAATATAGGTACTACACTTTTGGCATCACTGGCTAAAAATCTTCATGCTTGGCTCCCATTGGACGGCCCGCGAGGCTTCTGATTGGGAGTTAGCGAGTTCCGCCGAGGGACCGAGTTAGCGACTTCCGTACGAGGACGGAATTCGCTAACCCGGCTCTAGATCGGGTTAGCGGGTTCCGGAGTTAGCCAATTCCGAAACCGAACAAGTTAGTGAGTTCCTCTCATCGACCAAATTTGAAGATAGGGCGTTTAACATGGGGTTAGCGAGTTCCAGAGTTACCCAATTCCGCGGACCCCTTTTTTCTAGTAAGTTTTTTATGGTGGAGATTAAGGGGCAGATGAGGGATATTGTTTGAGATCTGCTGGCAGAGGATTTTGTTGTGGTCTCATCTAAAGGGCTCAAAATTTCGATGTATTCTTCAGCCATTTTCCATTCCATAGATGTTAGGTTGTTGATGTGTGTTTGGGAAGATAAGTTCTCCAGAAATCGCTTCTGTTTGCTAAACAAGACGGCTCAGCATTTGGTATTCCGAATGCCATCTTGTTTCACAGTCTTGTATGAGTTCCACTTGTTTTTTACCTAAATTTTGTTGGTAGGTATGCAGCCTTTGCTGGGCAGATGAGCTTCTTTTATAGTGCCCCACAATGGAGCGTGCAGTGGCGAGCATATTAGATAACCCTGGCGTAAAATTTTTGGCATCTGTCAAGGCCAACTGCAATGTGTGTGCAAAGCACGACACATGGCTCCATGGCAGATTTTTCATTGCACTTACCATAGTTGCAGCATTGTCTGTTACGGCAAATATCGGAATGCAGGTGTCAGTAAGATTCCAGTCCGTTGTTATGTCGTTGATTTTTTGGGCTATGTGTTGGGCATCATGTTCACCCAGAAGGTACTCATTGGCCAGACAAAATCTCTTTAAGTTTGAAATCTTGTGACATGTAGTGCAAAGTCAGAGATATAAATGGGTCGTTGCTCCGTGAAGTCCATAAGTCAGTCGTGAAACTCAATGACTCAACAGATGGTAGGTCAATTTCAATTTCACTTTTCATTTTATTTTTAGTTGACTCATACAGATCGGTGTAATTCTTCTGGAAAATGTATTACGAGAAGGTAATATGTACTTAGGGTTAGCCTCCTTGAGAACTTCAATTAGGCCTTCCTCTTCAACCAATGAATATGGATGAAGATTTTTGGCCATCCACATACCAACTTTGTTAGTCAATATTTTAGCTTTAGGGTGTTCATTAGGCCAGATTGTGTGGTGTTCAAAACTCTGACTCAATGTTTGATGTTTTAGGCCTTGGGGTTTTTTTAACTTTTGGGCTTTTTCAGTCTCTGTCTTAATATTTTGTTCTACCACAAAGACCACAGACTCTTTTTTATGTTTTGCTGTAAGTTGTCTGTGCAGACTTGTGGTGCTGCTAGTTTTAAGGGATATTTTTGCAATAGTTACACTCAGCCTTCTTGCCTTGGTCAGTAACATGGAAATGTTTCCAAATAGGGGCCTTTTTTAGGCCTAAATTAATTCCTTCACTAACCGGTGGGCCTATGAGTGAGTTGACTAGATGTGCTTGGAGAGCTTGTAGATCCCTCCTTGGTAACATAATCTGGACTATCCGGAGACCGAAATGCATCTTCATCCATCATCTTATAACAGTAACAACTAACTTAAAAAAGTAAGTAGGTAAATAGGTAACACTAACGGGAAATAAAAAACTAATGACCGCTGACACCGACTTATTAACTATATCACTGCCATCATAGACGACTTAAATTGACTTAAAAGTACTCGACATTACTCCATTAGTTATTCCGTTAGTTTTTCCATTTAGTTAGTTCCGTCTGGTGCATTGTGTGCTTTGTTTACAATTAATTTGTTTCTTGTTATTTCAGTTATTTAAACCCTTGTTTAGCAAAATAAAACAATCTAATCATAAACAATAACTCGTCCCCTAGTTATAGTTATATATAACGGTAAAGCACAAATCGTGAAATTAACTGTAAAATTGAAACAAAATTTCGTCAACACTAGCGATCAGTGGCACCGGACATGAACTATACACGAAAAACGGCTTCAAAATTCACAATGTGATTGGAAGTCTACTTGTGTTGGTCTATTATATGATACTACTAGTAATAGTAATACGTTTAGCTTATGTTCCTCTATGGCGCTACTTAGGCCTACTTCTGCAGCCGTTGTTTTCTTTTGTCTGCTCAAGATGCATGTCAGATAAAGTTTTGTCAGAGGAACCAAATGAAGCCGTGTTTTTTCGTGTTTTGCTTATTTAGTTATTTTGAAACAAACCAAACATTGTGGTGGATGATAACTTGTTTTCAGCTCAATGCTCAGCTTACGTAATAAATATATAAATCACGCAACACACAAACCATTCAACAGATTGCTTCATTTAGCTCTGCTGGCAAAGCTGTATTAGAAAACATCTGTTTTGAAACAGCTGGTCGTTGTCCTTTCATTGGCGTTTTAAGTGAAATATTTCGCCGTATGTCAGCGAATGGATCCAAGATGGATGACGCAAGTGATGTCTAAGTTGCCGATTATTAGTTGGCCTACGTATGTAAATAAATATTTAAAGGAGCCAAGGGATTCAATAAAACTCAATCATTTTCCTTTCTTGTTATTTATTTGTCAAGTATCAATGAAAATAACGAAATCGGCTTAACGTCTACTACTCGACTCGAGTTGCTTGAGTATCTCAACTACTCGACTCGGCTGTCGAGTATTGCCAATTATTGTATTGCCAATCGAGTACTCGCCCACCCCTAATATTTAGCTAATTCCTGAGTTCAATAATTGTTACATGACTTAACACCCATTTATGTTAGTTTCTTGAAATCATAAGTAATGCATTTTCCCACCGATTCATCTACTATATTTGTACTAACTATCAAAACTAATATTTGGCTTATATTCCTTATAGAATTTTCCGGAAGACAAACTGCGTGAAGAACTGCGTAAATTGCAAGAAGACAAGAGTACATACCAAGGACTGGCTAAAGAATGTCTGCAGAAAGTTTTACAAGAAAAATTGGAAGCCATTCACAAATGCCAAAACATGGAGAGGTATGTTATGTTTCACGAAATGTATATTTTAATGTTGATGTGTTTTGTTTACTCATAGTTTCAGATAAAAAATAATACCCTGTACCAGTTTTACTGTTGTATTAGCAAACAATCACCTTGTACCTGGAAGTTCCTCGTATTTCTTTATTAACTCTATGAGATGATAGTTAAGCTTTAATTCATCTTCAATATGTGCTCACTTAACAATTGCAATATTTATTGTTTGTGCTTGAAACCCTGTAAAAGTTACAGATGCCAATAAATAGTTAGGCTGAACTTGATTTCATCACAAGCAACAAACATTTCATTTGGCTTACAACCAGTAATTTCCTTAATCCAAGCCCAAGCTAGTTTTGTTGCCAAAGAATATTTTTGAGTTAGATTCGATAAAGTTAATTCAAGGTTCAGTGTGTAGGCTTAAATGTAAATGTTTTATACAAACCACCCAAGTAATCTAGAAACTACATAAAAGAGGTATAATATTTAAGTGACCAGCATTTAAGAGAAACATTTAAATTCTAAATCTCTAAGTTTTAAAGTTATGGTTCAGGGCTTATGTAATTTTTATGTATTAATAGCTTGATTAAGACCTACTGTATTCTATACTTTTAGTTAGAATATTTTATTGAAAAATTAAATAAATTAGTTTGCTGGTAAAGGGCAAAAATAATTAAATCCATACTTTGCTTTTTTTATTTTACTTGAGTATTAAAAAATCATAAAACCCATACCTTCTTCTTTAGGGCTCTAATGAATGCTGAGGTAGATGTTACAAATCTGAATCTTACTGCGGAAAAAAGACGTGAAGATTTGCAAGAACTGGCGATCAAGCACAACTCCCAGTATCTTAAGACAGTAGAACTGCAAAATAAGTTACAGGTTTGTTGAACTGACTTAATTTAAAAACATATTTGTTTAGCAGAATTCTTATACGGTTAGCCTGAAACTTAACTGCGAACCATATAAAATGTATTCCTCTGTGTGTTTGAGGTGCCTAAGTAATAGAGTAACAAGTGTAAGATAGGCTGTTTGAATATTTTAACAAAATCTTTTACTTTTGATTGTCAATTTAATTTCAAATGTGTTGGGTTTACATTGTCAATAATATACAAGATCTACACTGAAGCAATTTAAGCTTGAATTTACAACATTGTGTACCAATTTGGGTATTTTGATCATCACTATATTAAGTAATGCTTAGTTAAAAATTTTATAAAGTTGGCAACAACATAAAAAAATGTTTAATCCAGTGAAGTTCATTTACCGTAAACTAGAAAATTACTTTTTTTATTTTAGTTAATTTTGTTTTGTTTCATTATTATTTGGATAAAAGTACCTTGTTTCAACATAAGATGTAAGGTTTCCACGGTCACTAACACTATATACTATGTTTGAAGTTCATTGTTGGTGATGGTGAGTTAATATTGTTCAAAGGTTTATTGCGGACATTTTCCATCACGATGAAAATGTCCGTCATTAAACCTTTGAACAACACTATATACTAGATATTCTGGGTACAACAGTGTCACAGGCGGCCACTTTGTCCAAGAAATGTAGCGCTTGACACCTGCTCTTGTGAGCTGGTCTGAGGAGGTCAAAACGTCATCACTTAGTGATAAGTTGTTGTCTGTAACAGGGTCGTACCTAGAGGTGTGCGGATATCCGAAAAATCGGGTCGGATTCGGTTTGGTTCGGATATCCGTATCCGAACCGGGCCCAAATTCGATATCCGACACTATCCGTTATACCGGGTGTCCGAAAAATAACTCCCTAGTTTTGATAAACGATTGTTTATTGTAGAGAATACATATTCTTATATCTAATACATGAAATTAAAGAGGGTTTACTCAAGTTTATTTGACATTAGTACACCTCGATATGTGACCCATTTGTAGCTCTACAGATATCTAACCGGTATTCGATCTCTCTCCAAGTGTTAGTTAACATATCAGGTGTCACTGATTCTACTGCAGCTACGATTCTTTGACGAAGATGGTCAATGTCAGGTATCTTTTCTGAATAAACCAAGTTCTTAACGTAACCCCACAGGAAAAAATCCAGTGGTGTTATGTCTGGGCTTCTTGGAGGCTACGCGATCGGGCCAGCTCTCCCCATCCATCTTGCCGGGAAACGAGCGTTTAAGGCCGAGCGCACACGTTTTTTGTAATGGGGCGGCGCACCGTCTTGCTGGAATATTACTAGTCCTTTTTCCGCCTCGATGTCATCCACCTGTGGAAACACGTACAGTTCAAGCATTTCACAGTAGATATCGCCATTTATAGTGTTTTCACAAAAAATAAAAGGTCCAAAAATTCGACCGTTCATTAAACCGCACCACACATTAACCTTAGGCGAGTCTCGTTGGTGTTGAACAATTTCTCGTGGCTTCTCAGACCCCCAAATTCGGCAGTTGTGGCGATTTACAACCCCGTTAACATGGAACGTTGACTCATCAGTGAACAAAACATTGTTCAGGTAGTTTGGATTCTCATCAATTCTGTTGAGAATGTCCACAGCAAAATCTAACCTTAAGCGTTTATCATTTGGTTTTATTTCGTGGACCAGTTGGATTTTGTACGCATGTAATTTCAGTCTTTTACGTACCACGTCGTAGACAGTAGATCTTGGTAATCCCAATTGTAGACTACGACGCATTAGTGACGTCTTAGGGCTGCGTTGGCATGAGGCTCTGATTCTCTCTACATTCTCCGCTGAAACAGATGGCCTACCCGGTCGTTTTCCTTTTAAAACACTTCCCGTCTCCTTAAATTGTTTTAACCAACTGCGAATTGATTTCGGATCAGGTGCACTGCCACCATACTCACGTCTGAAGTTACGTTGCACAGTTGTAACAGATTTTGTTTCCACTAACCAAATTACGCACTGTGCTTTCTGCTGTGGAGTAGCCATTGCACTGACTGACAGTCAGACAGTCGAGTCTAGCGCTCGGCGCGGCGGCGCGGCGCGTGGTGGAACTACACGCTCAAGGTCAAACAGGTGTGCCAACCTTAATACCAACGTACGAAACTAAAACTTAAGAGCATACTCAACAGGCCCAAAGAATTATTTTTGTCCATTCTAACGAATACTGTCCTCAGAAATTTGATAAAACTAGGGAGTTATTTTTCGGACACCCGGTATATCCGACTTTTTCGGATAGACAATATATTTTGACGTTTTGGACAGAAAACTAAATCTCCATAGCCACCATTAGTTTCCCAGGACAAAGTTACAGCAATACGTTTCCAACGACCTAACAGCAAACGGCAAAGAAGCCGTATGATGCAATACTAATAACTAGTTTAGTCGTTATCGGCTGTTTTGCTTTACGATTAGATTCGTTTGGAACGAACAGACATAAAGCAGAAAAGAACTACCATGGTCAAATGAAAGTCAACTCGTGCTTGTCTCGCTCCTGATACTAGGGGCGCTGCGTAATAGTTTTTTTTACAGTACTGTTTCAAAGTAGAAAAATCTAGCCTACTACTGTGATGATGTTACGTAAACAATAGATTTAATGTTTCCCGAAAACAAGTCAGAATAGAAACAATAGAAAGGCAACACAATAGAAGGATGGGAGGGGTTGGGCAATGACCTCGAAAGGAGCGCGGGTAGTGAGTCAAGTAGGACCGGAGGGGGAAGGGGTGGGTAAGACCTTGAAGCTATATATAGACTTGCACTACTTCCCTAAACCTAAAGGACTGGCCGGCGAGTGGTATTCCAATCACAGGACAAGATACGTTGTTTTTTGGGTATTCATTGCCCGGTTCGACTTTGGATTGTCTTACTGTGTAGAAACTTTAAATAATAAAAAATAAAGTTTGAACTAACTACGATTATTTAACATTGATTGTGTACATATTAAATGATTAAACTATAGGGACCATGGATATATACAAACTTTTGTCGTGATTTTAATTTCAACATCAAAATACAATATTGCACAATCGTGATATTTTAGGTCATTGACCTTTATTATGCATCCGGTATTGCTGTTTCAGAAGAGAAGCACGTTGATAAATTATAAATTGATATTCCCGTAGTTAAAAAGAATTATTTTATAAACCTATAAAACAAAATCATAAAATCTTACATAAAGATAACAATAACGGAAATTGTAAAAAGGGTATAAAGATAACAACGTTGTTATTCTTTCTCTTTGTTCTTCTATTTCTTGGGTTTCCCTTCATCACGCATTCAACAAGTTGCCATGGTTACTAATCACCCATGTCGTTATCAGCTTTTGTGACATAGCGCACAGCAGGGGGGTAAAACTTGATGAAAATCGGTTAATTTTTACCTATTATTTAATTACCAATGAATGTACTACTTTATTGGTATTTGGTACTGTATTAATAATCGGTCAAAATGGCCGATTTTTGTCAAATTTTACACCAAATTTATTGAAATTTCAAGGTGAATATTAATAAAACAACTATTACCAAATATTTGTATTCATTTAAAAGATTGATTTGTGGTATTGGGTTCCCCACTGAGTGCAGCCGAGCGGCACTAATGAGGGTCAGACCTTCTTGGGGGTGAACAATAGACGGCTTATCAGACCCTCCCCTCCCCCGTGGTCTGGAGAAAGCTTGTAAACGAACTATTGCACAAGCGTGACTTGTCATAGGGCTGCTTCAACTATAATTTTGTCAAATGAACTGTGATGTTTCAAAATAAAAAACAATAATTTGGGACCATACTGCTTAACAATAATGGACTGCAATTATTGTTGAACATACAATCCATTTTTAACAAACTAAGATTATACAATTCAAATACAATTATAAAAATTATCTTGGTATTTTACTTGGGGTAATGAAGTTATGTAGGCTAGTGTAATTCTCGGTTCATCAAGGTTCTACTGAATTATGTTTGGCAGTGAATAAGTGTAGAATGCAATTTATAAATTCAGGGATACACACCTTTTACACAGTTATAAAGTCTAATTTAATTGCCCAACATCAAATTGTGAGCTAGAGCCCATCTTAGTGCATAAGTGATGTTTTCTAAACTTGGCAAACCCGCAAAATGCCACTTAAGGCCAATAATCCGTTCCAAAAACGTAAGGAAATACAATGTGAAAATAAACTTGAGATCGAACTCCTTGGCTTGTGAGAACCAGGAAACAAGATAAAACATAACCTCAAGTAAACAAGCCCAAACGTTTGACATCAGCCCTGCTGAGCTAAGGTGTTGTGTGAAGATTTCGGCTGCTAGTGTACTTAATTCAAGCAACCAACTTTTGAAAATAAATGTTGTGAATTGTGATTTTCAAGAGAGAGAAAACTGTGGACTTGGCTAATTTGAAATTCTATAGTTCAAAATCGTCATTTAAGTTTATTTACACAGCTTTACATTGTTTTATAGGTTAAAAATACATATGCAGCTTGTTATTAACCGCGCCGAACTATCCGAATCCGAAAATATCCGAATCCGAACCTCCCAATATCCGATCCGATCCGAACCGAGCCTCAACTATCCGATCCGAATCCAATCCGAAATGAAATTTCACTATCCGCACACCTCTAGTCGTACCTACAACACCTAGTTTGTAGTTGTTTGATTTGTTTATACTTTTGCTCTAACAATTCAATTTTTAAAGGAAACCGAGGAGTCTCACAAAGAAGCGTTGGCAAAGATAGAGGCAGAAAACGAAGAGTTGGCGGCAGAGGTGAAACGGTTGATAGCCAACGAGGCTGTGATGCATGAGAAGATAGAACAGCTGGAAGTGTCAACGGGTCGCCATCTTCTAGGCTTCCAGTCGCAGCTGCAGTTCAACAAGTCGCCAGATATCCATGACCACCTTTCCTCCCTCAAAGAGCGCAATGGTAAATTACATTATTTCTTAATACGGTATGTTCTTATGAGATTTGTAAAAGATGAGATTTATAAAATCTAGTTAAGTCTGTTATTATGATTATGTAACATGCCCTAAAGGTTCTTTGTTTTTAGCACATAATTTTAATTTGATGAAGTTTTATGTCTAAAGAGGTAAAACGTTCCAAAATAGGTGATAGCTTTTGTTTAAATCGAAATTAGGCTTATAGTAATTACTTTTCCTAATTTAGGCTAAGCCATGAGTTTACACCACTGTATTACTTTTTTAAACGAAATTACATTCAGGTTTGTTCTTAATTAATTAATGTTGTAAACTGAGGCCAACTAAAGCTAACATTAAAGTTAGTCGTGTTTTAGTCTGGTACAGTAATGTACTAAAGTAACAAAATGGAATATAAAGAGACAAATTTTGCTTTCTTTTTGTTAAGGGAGCACTGCCGATGTCATTTGCAAAAATGATGAAGACGAAGAGCTAAAAGATGAAAATCAAAAGGATGTTTCTAACTCGATGGACTCTTTAGTAAATCGATTATCATTAGCCCTCGAGGAACAGAAAAGAGCCAAAGAACTTGCAGACCTTATTCAAGGTATGTTTTATTAAATGTTAGATGTAATTTGTTTAGTTACATAGGAAGGTACATCTGAAACTAACCTTAACAATATCCTGGTACTTCAGTAGAAAGCTATTGGGGCTCTCATGGACCTTGACTCTACAGATGGCTGCAGAGAAGCTATCGCTGAAGTTCCCAACTGTCGTAGCATTTTACATCAGTGCAGTTGTCCTATACACTGACCAGCTGGACCTTCCCAGGAATGGAGATTTTCACCCATAACAGACCAGAAGAGCAACAGATTTCAGCCTTCATGCACACCATACCACGCAGTTCAGTAAGAAACCATTCTATATCGGTCGCAAGATCATCAATGCACTGCTCTAAGACCTCAAGACTATGAGAGGAAACACACTAAAACAGGGACTGCAAGACTGGCTGGTGGAACGACCTGTTTACTCAATCTAGGAATTCTTTAATCTCTTATAAAGATAGATGACCAGAAAATACTTGTAAAGCAAGAAATCTAAACGAATATGACACCACTTTATTTCTTTAAGACATAACACATAAAGAATTTGACTCTTGTCTAATCGAGTTATTAATGTTTTAATGCTTTCTTTAAATATCTGTTCCAGCTCAAGCAACACTGCTTCAAACGGAAAAAATGTCAAAGTTGCAACATGTTAATTCACTAGAAGGTATGTGTTGCATTTTGCTATTAGAGTTTTAACTTTTTTTACCTTTCAGAGGGCGCATTATTTTTCAAAACGGGAGAGGGTGCACCTGGAGGTTACTTCCAAGTCAACAAAAACAACCATTTATGAAGTAAAATTTGTACTTTAGTGCACAAATTAAGTTTTATTTATCAAAAATCTGTTTAAAGAACTCTTAATTATAAAATAACTTAATTAGATTTTATAAATATAAAATTAAACTATTATTCTATCAAATGTTCTAACATAAAAGAATATGAAGAAATCTTTTACAAGAATATATTCAAGAAGTTAATCTTAATTTTCCCCACAATGTCCTATAATGCGGTTCTAGATAGCACTCACAATAACTGATGTTTTAAGTAATTTAACATAATGGGTATCTTAATACTAAATGACTCTGTACATACGTCGTTCGTAAATCTTCCTTTCAGCCCTGGCTAAGAGTATTGCAATTCAAAATTTAACTTCATCACTCATCGTTTAAAAACTATATATTTACTAAATAATGTCATGAATCGTAAAAAAATAATTATTTACACGCAATAATCAACGCACACACTAAACTAGAGGTCGCAAACGGAAGTTGCCTCCAGGCTGTACGAGAATCGGCAGAGCGCACACAGAAGCTACTTCCAGCTTCTTACAAAACTGAACAAAACTAACAAATATAAAATAGTAGGGGTGAGTTTTGACCTTCACTCGATTCTAGGAATGAGGTGCGTGAGGTACAGTAACACTCACACTGCCGACACCACTCAAAATAATATAATTGTGAAAAATAAATCAAAACCCTGGAGGTTACTTCCGTGATGCGACCTCTGGAAGGTTAAATACCGGTAACGTACCTAAAGATATAATTTTTAAAATTTGGTTTTCCGTTTAACTTTCGGCTGATTTAGCTGGTGTATGATGTTCATATAGTACACCAATAAAAGATGGTTATTGATTTTTTTTTCAAAAAAGGGTTGTAGACAGTTAAAAGGACATGGTGACAACACAATTTGATATTTTGCCGTAAATTCAGAAAGAAGATGTCCTAGTAGATGAATACAAAATAAATTCTGTTGTGAACTTTTTGTGCCATCAACTGCCTGAAACTCTTTTCTTAGGTAAGTTAGGTGTATACATAGGGTGTCACAAATTTATGTATCGGGCTCTGCAAAACCAGTTTATATTAGTGATAGTCGGATCCGGATATCGGACTAGAACCGGCACCCGATCGGATCCAAAAAATTCCGGATCTTGGGCTGGATCCGGTTTTGATGGATCTGATTTTTTCCAATTTTTCCCGATTTTGGTATTAACACAAAGCTGACTGTATCCCCATGTACAAGACCGATTTTCCCTGATTTTTTTACTAACACAAAGCTGTCTGTATCCATGTACAAGACTATCTGTGACTGTGTACAAAAAGACTCCTCTAAAATAAGGCAACTTTAAATCAGCAGCAAGTTTTATTATATCCAAACTACTTTTTCTGGAAGTCTTTCAATTATTTCCTATGAGTACATTTTTTGACTTTTACTACCAGATCCCGTATAAGGTCTCAAATAGAGCCACTTTTATTTCTTTCAATAACAGGCAACAGGTTTTTTCTTTCTTATTTGTTTTTAATTTTTGAAGTCTTCCCTTTTCCCACACCAGTTTTGCTTTAGTTTTCATTATGTTAGTAACTGCCCAGGCGGCAGCTCTCTCACCAATACTAGAGTCTGAAGCTTTTACCTTTTCCCAAGCTAATAAGCTGTCAGCCACTGATCTAATTTTACTATCCTTCGATCTTGAGTATGCTATATTGTGGTTTTTGTATGCAGCATCCAATTTATTTATGCCTGGATCACCCTTTGCTTATCTCTTCCTTAAATTCATTCCAGGCCCACAGTACTGATAGCCGGGTATGTGAAATTCTACAGGTAAAATACCCTGTGTCTGTGTACATACAGGGTGAATAAAAAGTCAAGACTCCCCCATCTAATATTTTTTTAAGTTAGAACACAGTATAGTCTTCTTGTACACAGACACAGGGTATTTTACCTGTAGAACTTCACATACCCGGCAATCAGTACTGTGGACCTGGAACGAATTTAAGCATTTAAGGAAGAGATTATTAACAAGAGGTGATCCAGGCATAAATAAATTGGATGCTGCATGCAAAACCACAATATAGCATACTCAAGATCGAACTATAGTGAAACATACACAGATACCCTTTTGGTGGTCGTGCAAACCTACACAAAGTTTCATTTTATGATTTTGAAAAGTTTTAGTGATCCGCCCATCACTAAAAAGTTTATATATATAAAAATAAATGAAAAATGTCCAGTACATTTTTTTCTGATTTCAGTTTAGTGTAGTCATAATCAGGTAATTTGTAATTCGCAAATATTATTGATAACTCAGAGCTCCTTAATATTTATGAAATTTGGTTTGTTATTGCATGTCCCAAAAAATATTTTTTTTCAATGGGTTAACATTTCAAAGATAAATTTAATGTAGGCCTTTTCCTAAGCCAAGCCAAGTGCTTTTTCCTTCAAAGACATTTTAATTAGAAACTAAGTTATCTGTTTTATTTTAAAGAGGCAAAAGAACTATAGAAAGTAGCTACATAGCTTAGTCCGGCCAGTTATAATCTTGCTAGATTTTAAGGTGAATTAGGTGATGTTTAACCCTTAAAAATATATTTCATAATGAATCAGGGTGTCCACATTCTGGAAAGTCAGGGATAGTCATGGAAAGTCATGGAAAAAAATTATGGTCATTGAAAGTCATGGAAATCCCCAATGATGGATGGATTTCAGGGGACCTTTCAATGCTCTAGTTGGCCGTAACCGCGACTATTGTAGCATTTTTCCGAATTTTTCACAAATGTACGACAATTTCAATTTATACAGTTGTCTTAGATTATGGGTTTTGAGTTTGTATTAGTTCATTGTTGTACCTATTGTACTCCATTGTTATCTGTTAATACATATTTCAATATTTTCTGTGAAATAACTTGTCTAGGTTTATTCGTGTGTGTACGGTATATTATAATTTTTGAGTTAAGTTCGTGAGTCATGGAAATCAATGGTTAATGGTCATGGATAGTCATGGAAAGTCAGGGAAATTGATAACAAAATTTCTGTGGACACCCTGTAAATGTCTTCAATATTTTAATTCTATATAGAAATTTTCATAAATAAGTCTTGCATAGACATTAAAAATATTATTCTTTTGTTTCAGCTGAACTTGAAATTCATGTAGATAAAATGTGTAAATACAAAGAAGAAAATAGAAAACTGGAGCAAACGCTTCTCTCCTTAGAGCAGAGATTAAAAGATGAAACCCTGAACAAAAGTGAAAGTGAAACAACATTGGTAAGAATTGATTTTGCATCAATTGTGTTTTATGATCTTAAGTTCATTATAAGAAAATTTACTCACCATGGTACAGCCTTTGATAAATTTAATGTTTTGTCTTAGGCCAAGCAAGGGACACTATTCGTTTGCTGTGAACTGTAGTTTTTATGTTTCCACTCCCATTCCCATTTTTAGAAAATTTCCCTTAGTAGGGAATAAGTTATTACCCTAAGTCTTATGGTAAAACTAAACCCGGTAATGCCTTTTTTTTTTTGGCCTCAGAGGAAAATTTGTTTGAATTCATATGGGCTTTTATAAATAGCAAAAACCAATGATTTTATCAGCTGTTATGTTTTAAAACTCCTGATTGATGTATAACAGATTATTGTAAAGATATTTAGACAATGTAAAAGAAGTATTACCTTACCTTACCTAGCTGGCCACTCAAACCTAAGCAGGTTTTTGGCCTCTCCAACAGCTTTGCGCCATCTTTCTCGGTCCTTCATCATCTCCTCTGTAACGGACATCCTTCTCATATCCCTCCGGACTTGGTCCCACCATCGCAGCCTTGGGCGTCCTAAAGGTCTTCTTCCTACAGGTACAGCATCCGTCACTGTTCTCAAGACTGACTCTTCAGGTCTCCTGTAGACATGTCCTGCCCATCGAAATCTTTGGCTTTTAATTAATGCAGTAATATCCGGATCTTTGTAGACCTCACGTAATTCTTTATTTGTTCTAATCCTCCAAATTCCTTCTTCTTCAATTGGGCCATATATACGTCTGAGAATTTTGTTTTCGAAAATTATTAGCTTCTTTTGATCTTGTTTGGTTAGTACCCACGTTTCAGATCCGTAGGTAGCTATAGGCAGTATAATAGTCTTAATAATAACAACTTACGTCAATCAATCCAGTATGTTTATGGAGGACGCACGTTTCGACCTTTAGGTCATCTTCTGCTCCGCTTTTTCACTAGGTTGTTACGTACTTAGTTGCATTGTTGGTGTAGCAACCGCGTCAAATAATTTACATTGTGAAACATAGTCAGACCACGTAAACATAAAAACACAAAACACGACATTGACGAATACGAAAACATTTAAAATACTATCACCGTGCGCACGGCTGAACGGGCTCGGGACTGCGGCGGCACTGACTTGTCCAGGCACCCTGCTTTGGACTTTGAACATGACGTCACTCACTCCTTGTATTATCCGTCAGTCGAATAATGGTGTCATATACAGGATTGGCGTCAGAATGAATTTTTCATTTAAAATATTTTTGTTTAGCTTGAAGTCCTTGTATATGGCCATTTCCTCTATTCTGTCAAGCCGCTGTCCTTTCTTTTCCCTCGCTAAGATTTTCAAGTTACTACTTATATTTGTATAAGTGTGTCCGGGTTGCATTGGTTAACTTGTCTCAAACTTTCTTCTAAAGCTAGGTTGAACAGTAGAGGTGATAGTCCATCCCCTTGACGAACTCCAGTATTTATACTAAACTCTTGACTATATTCATTGTTAATTCTCACTTTGCACTTGGTTTCTTCATTGCATAGACTTGCCATATTTATTAGTTTTTCAGGTACACCATTTTTTTGCATGTTTTTCCACATTTGTTTCCTATTGATACTGTCGTATGCTTTGTTAAAGTCAACAAAAAGTAAATGTGCTGTCTTGTTAAACTCCCAATATTTGGATAAAGCTTGTCTCAAGGTGAAAATTTGATCCGTGGTTGATCTTTGGCTTCTAAAGCCTGCTTGATGTTCCCCTAAGATTTCTTCAGCATAACATACTAATTTGTCATTAATTATTCTTGATAGGATTTTGTATGCAGTATTAATTAAGGATATCCCTCTGTAATTGTTGCAGTTACGGGTATCTCCCTTTTTGTGTATAGGGACGATTGTTGCTATTTTCCATTCCATTGGAATCTCTTCTTTCTCCCAGACATCTAAGATTAACTTATGGAGTTCTTCTATTATAGACTGACCCCCTGCTTTGAGTAGTTCTGCAGGTATGTTGTCTCCTCCCGGAGCTTTATTGTTTTTTAAGTTCTTGACTGTATTCCATACTTCTTCAAGAGTAGGAGGGTTTATCATTGGTTGTACATTTTGAAACTGTCCTTCTTCTTCTTCTCTGTTGGCTGTCATATCTCCATTTAAGAGATCTTCAAAATAGCATTTCCAAATATTTAGTGCTTCTGCTTGGTTACAGATAATGTTTCCATCTTTGTCTTTCACACCTACTGTCTTTGCTTTGTATCCTTGTTTGAAAAATCTAACAAAACGAAAGAAATCTCTTGTGTTATTTTTGTTACTGTCTTTTTCTGCTTTCCCTGTTTGCTCTTTGACAAACTTTCTTTTCGCTGCCCGTAGTAATTTTTTAACTTCTCTGTTGGTTTCTTTGTACTGTTGTTTGGTGATCTCATTCTCATTTGTGAGCATAGCGTTTTTAGCTTTTAACCTATTTTCAATTAGTCTATGACAATCCTCGTTGAACCAAGAACCTCTTCGGAGACTTCGTTTACTGACTTTTTTATATGCTCCCATCTTTCCTGTACTGTTATGTCTGAGTTCTGTTCCTGCAAAACGTTAAATCTGTTTGTAAGTTTAATTGTGAATTCTTGTTTGACCTTAGGTTCCTTAAGTATTAGCATTGTTTAAATGGAGAAAAGTGTTCATGCATTACGAAAAGAACACATTTATCTGTTATTATTTATCCATTCTTTACAAATAAGGTATCATTGAAAACTGCATAAAATATACTAACTTTTTTGTCTAGCAATTCTTTTGTTAAGTTAACAGCTTTCGTGAAATTCGGCATAAAATATTTTAAATGGCAGCCATTTTGAAATGGTTTATGATTTTTTCGTGTAATCTAAAAATAAATAGGTCTCAATAAGATAAACATTTTTACAAAATCTCAACTCTGTATCTCAAACCGTTTAGGAGTTATAAATCTTTTTGTAAAAAACACATAAATACAGACGGTAAACTAGGCACCACAGACCCATGTTCCTATGGTGAAATGTGTTTGTCTTGACATAAGCAATAACGCTATATATATGTGTCCAGAGAGTTACAGGACACCCTGTATGTATAAATATATTTGAATGGAGGGTGTTTTTTCCTCTGGGGACCTCAAAACAAAAAAGTTAATCATTCCCGGGTCTAGGTCTTACCATGAGACATACGAGCTTATTCCTATGGGACTTTATCCTATTTCCTTATACCTATGGGAAATTCGCGAAAATTTGCGTTTTGAAAACATTCGTTATTGATGCTGATCTCTACCTCAGAGACAAACTAAGAGAGAATGTTCTTAATACACTGACGTCTTAAGACAATTGGAACTGAAAACAGTGTAATGTTCAAACCCACAACACCGATTGGATTTACAGAAAAAGTCAAGGAAATTCAGGAAAATAAATTAACAAAACCTTGTGGAAACCCTAATTCTGGCATTTGTTTTGATATTTTACTGTTGTCAATTTACAGATTGGAAGTGTGAAGATGAATGGTAGTGGAGAAAGACTGTCTAATGGACCTCACACTTCCTGCATGGAGTCTCTCTCAGCACAGATTGAGGATATCAAGGGTGAACATTTATCTGTTGTAGTTGTTGATGGTTGTTGTTGGTATTGTGGTGTCGTAGAAAATCTCTGATGATGTTTGACTAGAGCATGTGCATGAGATAACAATCACAATTTACATGAAAGCAGTCCACTTCCAGTTATTGTGGATATGCTGGGTATTGGACCCATCCCTTCGCACCATAGTAACACACCCCGCTAACTAACTTTTCATCTTAACCCTTCATGGTTGTCTTTGATTTTAAAACACGATTGGTGATACAAGAGTTTTTTCCACGTATTTTAACATTAAACAAGCAATGTAGTTTTATATACAGGGTGTTCAAAAAAGGTGGGGACATAATTTACGTACTGATTCCTTGGGTTAAAATAAAGAGAAAATCAAGAATAATTTTTTTTTCAAAATCACTTCGTTAACCAGATTCCGCCATTTTGTTGTTTTTACCTAAACATTTTTATCTTTTAATTTTTTCAACAAATCGTTATGAAACTTGGTGTGTATGTTAAGGTAGAAGAGACCCATGTTAGAAAATTTTTTAGTTGTAAAATGGGGCAAACCTGACCAGCTTCTGCCTTATTCTACCCCATTTCACAACAAAAAAATCGTAATATTTCAGCTATTTCTTATTTGATCTTTTTGATCTTGGTATCATTTGATAGGGAATAAAAAATGCTAAATAGAAGTGTTCTTGACATTTTTCATAAAATCTGCTATTTTCAAGTAATTTAAATTTAAATAGTTAAAATGGCCGCCATTTAAAAATTTTATGTTCAATCAAATTACATTTTTTTCTAACATGGATCACTTCTACCTTAACATACACACCAAGTTCATAAAGATCGGTTTAAAAAATTCTAAGATGAAAATGTTTGTGTAATAAATTCAAAATGGCGAATATCTGGTAAACAAACGATTTTGGAAAAAATGTTGTTTTTTTATTTTCTCTTGTTTTTGACTCGAAGAATCACTACGTAAATTATGTCCCCTCCTTTTTTGAACACCCTGTGTTTTTTGGCAACTATTTTTTGGCAAAGCATTAAGTTTTTACTTTGTATAATTTCAAAATGGCGGCCATTTTTGTTTGTCAAAGCTTAGTAACTAAAAAAACCATAGGATTTATAAAAAAGTTACAGAGACAAAAAAAGGATGGAAAATTTAATTTTCTTTACAGAAATGTACAATTTTTGTAGGGTCATAACACAAATAATGGAGAAAATTTTATTTTTATAAAGGTAGCAGAAACTTGATGCTTTGCAAAAAATAGTTCCTATTAGTCATCTACACGTACCTAGTTTGAAGTTGGTTCCAAAGCTATAGAAAGTTATGTAAAAAATAAATATACACTGACAGACGGAAAATGAAGCGAGATAGGGCATATGCTTAATAATACTTTTTATTTGTTTTGACCTAAGGAACATGACCACAGAGTTTCGGGAGAGAGTTTCGAAACACCCTGTATATTTTTCTATTATATTTTCTTTGAGGAAATCTCCGTGGTGTCAGCTATGATGGTTAATTTTAAACCTATTAATCTATTTATTTCTGTTAATTAGTCTCTTTTAAATATAATGGAAACAAGCAACAAGTCTATAATTCTTTAGCTCTCAGCTTTTGAAAAAAAAGATGATTATAAGAGTTTAGTGAAGAGTATGGATATAAAAGTAGAGCAGCTATTAATTTTTTTGTTTTGCACTTGTTTAAGTTGCTAATAATCAAAGCAAACCTTTGTTGGACAGGAATACCAACCTCAAAATAATTCTCACTTCCCTAAATGATCAGCCGTGTTTACTGTTTATCCAAGACATCTGTTTTTTATCAGTGTAAAACTGTAAAACAATTTTTACACAACTCCTATTTGTTGGACATGAAGAAGGTTACATATTTTAAGGGTTCATAATTTACTTGATCAGTATTAAATATTTTGAGTTTTTTTATTTGTCCAATTTTTTGCTTTGCTTTCATTTCATTCTTGGTGGTGGTTCTTGTTTTTAGATGCCATCTATAACATGTCATTAGATGCACGCTACAATAACTGCAGGTTCCGAGTGTTAGCAGGTTTGCACATTTTTACTTGCATGTTTTTATTCTTTGTATCTTATATTCATTGAAATATTGCTATATTAGCCATGTTGTAATGAAACCTTTTTTTATCTCCTTTACTATTTATATTTTTATTTTGTTGTGGGCTCCTCACAGATTTGTGAGTGAAAATGAAAAATTTACCTTGAATTTTTTCAAAAATATGTATTAAAATTAACTTCTGTACTTAAATTCTATAGAGTTTCAGAATTTACAGAAGCTAACATTAATCTGTTTAAAAAAACTTTTCAGTGAATACAAACTATGCTTATGAGATTGCCAACTGGTTGCTGTGCACAAAGTAATAAATACAGTGCTTTGAAGATTCCCTACTAACCACACTTTCAATATGTATGCTATTGGATGTAACATGATGTTGATTAAGTGGATTTGTTTAAATAAACAAAAATTAAAATCAACACTTTTATTAAAATTAAAAGGGAGCTATTTCATGATGAATCCCAGTATCCTTATATTGATGGAGACAGAAGTCAGTACACAAAATTTAAATTAGCTGAAAATCCACTTTCTTGCACTTAACAAGCCAATCTTATTTAAGAAGACAATTTTTGTCCAAGTGAAAAAGACCCTAATTACAATACTATTATGGCGTGACTGAGTAACAATGGTCAGTTTAAATACTAGACAATATCAAATGTTGAACTTATGTAGGATGAAAAATATTTTTTTAACTCGTCTCTCAAATAACTTTTGCATTGTAAAGTTAATGGGATTTGACTTGTAAGCACCCCATATGATCCTCCTTGGACCGATTGTACTAAGGAAGCTGTGTTGACGTGGCTCGTACTAGGGATACAAGTGGCCACTTCAGTAAATAAGTATAGGAGAAACTTGGAACATGTTTACCTCTGCCAGTATAAAAAGTACTGCTTTGCAAATGTCTTGTCTGTTTGGTAAGATAAATCTTGCAGTTTCAGATGAATTTTAAGGTCACTGTGTGTTGTAGTGTACCATAAACTAGACAGGACCACTCCTCTTTGATCCAAATTAAGACCATGGAATGTATTAATTTTGTATTTTAATCTAAACTGAATGGTAAAGAAGTTTTTTTCAATTTTTTATCTTTTTGTGCAAAACCACTCTCTCCTCATGGTTGGACCAAGCTTACACTCACTCATTTAATTAAATGTCTATTTTTTACTTAAATTGTTTCTTTAAACTTAGGGTTATGCAACATTTTAACTCTTGAAAATAACGTTACTGATTACCTACTCTTTGGGGAAAATGTTAACAATTCACATTTTTTGGTACCGGTATTAATATCTTTAACGTTTTTTTTCTTTAGAAGCGTTTAAAGAGTCAAGAAGTAAAATGGAAGCTATGGAACGAACGATTGACTTATTACAAGTAGATTTGAGCAATGCGAAAAAGAACTTCAGCGAAACTACGAACAACTGGCTTCTGCAAGATGAGAAATTACAGGTTAGTTTGAGATCTCATTAAAAAAAGTGTCAATACTTTCATAGTAATATCAAGTTTAAGAGAGTTGTAATTATTGAAAAATATGTTTGTTTAAAATCAGGGGGCGAACTTGGTTTTTTCAAATAAGCATGAACTGTTTATAAAATAGGGTTGTTGTTATTTTGCTGATTCTTGTAGCCTTAGGTGGTCTTCGATAAACTTTTTGCAACAAAGGAAACAAATACAATATCTCTGGACTGTTGGGTCGCAGTTCATCCAATTAAAAGTTAGTTATTTATTTCCTACACGTAAAAAACTGATTTGCTTGTCCTAAACAACACTATTTTATTACAGGAGGCTCAGGCTGTCAAAGAAGAGGCTGAGACAACTGTCAATGTTTTACGTGAACAGCTGAAAACTCTGGAGAACTCACTTCTGCAACTAAAACTTCAAGAAAAGTTGATTGAATCAGAATCAGAACACGCCAACAAGCACAAAGAAGAAGCCACGCTGTTGAGAAGTAAGTATATCATGGTTTAGTTTAACTAGTGTGTACCGATAAATTGAATCAATTTATGTTTGTAGCATTACAGTTTCACAAATAGTAATTGTAAGAGGTAAATAATGTGACACTCATAGCTGGGTTTTTTTCTGTGGTAAATAAGGTACCGGTAAAGTAGTTGTCTTATGGCATGATTTGTACACTTAACTATTTGATTGTTGCAAATAAATATTTGTAAATGTTGGCCGATTAGCATGAAATTTGATGTAAAATTTACAGGAATTTTAAGAGAACCACAGTATTGTATTGTTTTATTTATAATTAAAAAAATTACATGTCGTTATTGGGCTCCGTAGTCCTCTTTAGGGTAAACTCGGTCAAGCAATTGTAATAAAGGACTGGCTGCTGCACCATTGAACAATACCCTGCTGAGGACACGGACCAACTCTTGGATTAACATCCAGCGGTCTAAAAAATAGGTCATTATGAAAAGCAATGCTATTTTTAAAATAGGTTTGCTTTTCATAGTGACCTAAGTAAAATGTTTTAAAAACAAGATGGTATAATAGCAGTTTTTACATAAGAGTTTATAAAATTGTCTAAATATGGTTATTAATAGATGAAACTCTTAAAAACATCGAGTCAATGTTCATTTCGTATTTAAAGGACGCAACTCAAGTCTAGGCAGATTCAAACATTTCACATCCCTTGTGTGCTTTGGTTTATTGACCCCCCCCCCCTCGCCCCATATCCAGTATTTTTAGATACATCAGAGAATTGTCTTTCAAAGTGTTCTGATAGACTAACTAATCCAATGTGTTTCCACAGAACAACTTCAAGAAGCTCAGCAGATAGCAAAACAAAATAAAAATGAGGCGGAACTGATCAGGGAAAGGTTACGAGTCGTCACTGAGGAATTGGAGATGTCCAGGTTAAGATTTGATTTTGTGTCGTTAGGAAAGTCCAATCCATGGGATGATTAAACCTCCTATGTTTGTTCATATTCTTCCTTTTTTGTTTCTTTTCTAATAACCACAATTTAATAGTTTGTTATTTTATTGTTAGTCATTGTCCAGATAGCCAAAACTGGACTGCATTAGAAAGACCCTAAATGTTTCACTTGACTTTAAGCTGTGGGCTTTATTCCATGTCTGAAGCCTACATGACTATTAGCAATTAGTTGACAGTAAAATATACCATTAGGAATAGTATAGATGGTACTTTTTACTAAATATGCAACCAAAATTTAAAACTGTTAAATGTAGTTCAGTTGGTTTTAAAATTTGTTAAACACATTCTGAACTGCTATCTGTATATAGTACTGGTTGAGGTTAACCTCTTTTTAACTTAGATAAAAATATGATTAATTCATATTAATGTGCATATTAAAAACCAAATACGTAAGAAAATGTCCTTAATTTGTGAACATCAACAACTTTAAGTTATAATTGACTTGAGTTGTAATTGATTGAGTTATAATTGACATGCCATCTGTTAGATGAGCTAAGCTCAAATTTTTAATGTTTTTATGGCAAATAAAGAGTTTGAGTTTGAGTTTTTAACTCCTCACTGTACAAATGCTGACCACTTTAATTCACTCCAGAATCCCAGCAACTCTGTGTGAGAACCAATCACGGCTGTACACTCTAGTAGTCAGTTTAAAAATAAAAATCCCCTCAGTTTGCATCCAAAAAGGGGAATTATTCGCTAAATACCAAGTATTCGCAAAAGATTTGCTGCTGAGATTTGCCTTGCAGAACAGTTTTGGCTGTTTCAAATAGGTTCAATTATCATTGATTTATACTGTTTCTGTGTTTTATACTTTTTAATTTTTTTTATTTAATGTAACCAAAAATTAATAAAGTCTTTGTTTTCTTGCATGTTTTCAACTTGTTTGTTAGTGTCAGTGTTTAATTTATTCTTAGTGCTTGGTGTTGGAATAATAATTTCTTTTATAAAGCAAGAATAAAATAAAACGTCTGTGAATTAGGATCTGCCCTTATAGTGAGATTTTTTATGCTATTGAAATGTATTATTTTAAAAAAGCATTACAGTTCCCCCTTAAGATACTACTTAGGCTCTATTACATTGTCAGTCCCACCTATCACATTATTTTCTGTTGGTTAACACTACTCAAAAGCAATACTAAAAATGCTAAGGTTTTTTAAGCTCTCCATGATTATGATTATTTTGCAGTAGGCCTATGTAATATTTTAATCACTATCATCTTAAAATTCACAACTGCATACACAACATATGCTCAAACCACGACAGGCTCGAGTCTTGAGTTAATTTCCAATTGATTTGAATTTATTTACTATTTTTTGACAGAAATGAGTTAACGGGGTTTGAAAGCGGGGTTGTTATAAATGTCAACATTGAAACTTGATGGGAAATCAGGTCTATGGGAGTACTTTTGTGATTTTGCTTTCCTGGAGCATTTCATGTTTTTTCCCCATTTCCTCCCTGGGTTTAATGTTCATTCCATAAGGCACTTCCCAATCGCCTTCGGTAGTTAATTGTTTGTAATAATATTTATACGAAAGTCCCTTTAATCTTAGGGCCAGACTACACGAGCGTATGAAATGCCGACGACCATCTGCTTTTTTTGCAGAGCCAATAGCTTTATATGATGTGGACTACTCAAGCGTTTTTTTTTTGCCTGGTGAGGATGCAAAATTCAGGCGTTTGGCAGATCTAACGCCTCTGGATGCGTAAAATACGCGGGCAGATCGGCGCGCGGGACTACACGTAGCGGGAACTAACATTTCTCCTGTGCAGCTGCATGTTGATACATCCTTCCCCTCACTTGGGCGAGTCAAATTCTGCATCTCCACTAGTTGATGTAATTGGAGTCGTCTGATAGTTTTTTGTGCCTTAATATTTGTATTTGTTTTGCTGAAAAAGTTTGTCTGAGTACATTCTATGGGTATTAAACATTAATTGAAACTGCCCTGTTACTAAACGCCTCTTTGCACGGCATTTCTTCTTAACAGCCAGCAACAATAGCATACCAGCTACACATCCGACCTGTATCGTGTCCATTCCATATTGGAACGGACCAAATGTCAGTCACATTGGGCGAGGACAGTTGGTGGCGTTCTATACGCTCTTGTAGTCAATGCTCTCGCGTTCAATACGCTGCTGATTGTCGGCTTCGTGTAGTCCTAGACATTTTTGCGCGTACTATCGGCGGCGTTTCACACGCTCGAGTAGTCCGACCCTTAATAATTGTGCTCAGACTAAATCTAAAGATATTACCGGTATATGTTTTCATTGTTATTTTTTTAACTTTTGATGTTTGTATTACTGATTTTGTTTGTATTAGAATAATAGTGTTCAAATCCCCGAAAAGAGCTTTTTATATCAAAACCATTCAGAATAGTTCCCCAGTCTGAAGATAAGCCTATCATAATATCTGCATTAAAAAATCTGGTTTACGTACGGTAAATAAAGAATTTTGAACCAAATTACTTGTTAGAAATAGTAGTACTGGCATAAACAATTGTGACAAATTTGCTCAAGCGATCCGTTACACTCGTCTAGGAAATAGCTTTGCTTATAAATAAGTTGATTTGACTACTTTTTAAATTAAAACTCGAGATTATGAAAACAATGTTGTTTTTTACATCTTTAGTTTGACATATTAAACATCTTAAGCTTGGATAATCATTCATTTCTTATTTTTTTAAGACACATATTTGTTTACATTAATAACTGAATAGGAATTTAATGTATAAGAAGTTTATTCAAATTTGTTTCTTTCTTACTGTATATATTTTTTCTTTCCTCATTTCAACATAATCTGTTACTTTTATCAAGTCTTTCATAAAAATAATTTGTCTAAATATTTACACAATACTAATAAAATCTCATGCATTTTAGGTCACTTTCTGACAGCAACTCAGACAGCCAGCTGGACAACAAAGCAACAGAAGAGCTTGCTGCTGCTCGATTGGAAGCAGCGTCACTTCATGCTCAAGTTGTCGCCCTAGAATCTCAGATCAAAAAGTAAGTTCCATTTAACCTTAAAAGGCTATACGTATTTTAAAGAGTAAGACATTATTGTTCTTAGTAAAAAAAATTTAAATCACAACACATACACTGGCAGGGTTATTTTAAGATTAGCAAACATATTTGCTTCTGGGGTTGAGACGTGCTGTTCAGAATTTGAAAATTAACTTAGTTAACTCTTAGTTCATTTCAATTTTCAACAATTTAACCAATGAATAAGATTAAACTCTTAGTTGATTTTAATTTTCAACAATATTTAACCATTGAATAACGTTTTTATAGATACATTGAACAGTCCCAATAGTTGGTTAATATTAAAAGTTGTTGATAACAACTATTGTTATCATAAACAATTTTTTTTTAATTCTTACTCATTTGTATAAGAAATTAAACTATGGCTCATGGTTATCTCTTAAAAAATAAATATTAAATTGAACAAATGACAACTAATTATGTTTTAAATAACAACCAAAAGCCTAGAGCAGCATAAGTGGGTGCTCACGGACAAAGTCCACCCCTACTCAATCAATCGATCATTCTAGGTCCAAAACTATTTTGTAAGTGTTAGGTAAATGTTTCTTTTCATATTGTGAGGTATGCTCTCCACATGTTTATTGTGACGGGAGTGATTTTGTACCAACTACCACCAACGTTGTGTATTTGTAGGTTGAAGGTTGAGAGCAGTCAGAAGCAACAAGAGGTGACGGAAGCCAGCCAGTCAGGGACCAAGTCAGACGACGCCGAGGCCATAGTTCACAAGCTGCGACTCAGGGTATGTCTCCATTATTTTTTATGTTGTTACCAACTTAAATTTTGTCTATCAGCTCAGTGATGGATAGGAAAATTATTGTATATAACATGAAACTTTTATCTGATGTTGTCAGCCTTTTTAAAAATAAACTTACTACAGCATGTAAATTTATTAAAATTCAATTTACAAACACAGCATGTCATCGTTACACCCATTTAAGATTTATCAGTAGGCCTACTAACTGTACTGTACAGGCGGGCGGACATTAATTACGCCAATTGACCTGAGTTTGATTGCCTTTATCCTCTTGCCTTTTGTATTGTTTTTGTTAGACTATAATAGTAGACCTAATATACAGTTATATTTACAAACGATATGTAAAATGTATACATTTTATTTCCAGATCGGTGAGTTGGAGGAGGAGTTAGTTTTGGTGAAGGAGAAGTACATGGCTTGCAATGAGAAGAACACCCAGCTCAACAAAGAACTGGCTACTCTCAGGCAAGACTATGATGCGGTCGTGCACCAGCCTTACTTTGTAAGTAAATCTCTTCACATTGTCCATTCATCTGTTTCATCCTCAAGAAAAGAATTGAAATCAAGAAGCTTTCTTAATATTAATATGTACATTTTTATGTGGCCGGGATATGTAATGTTCAACTGAACTTAAAACTATTTTAAGTTTCATAGCAGGACTTGATTATTTGTTAGACTAAAGGCAAAAATGGCTAACTGCCTATTAGAAGATGAAGACTAACTTATTTTCATACAGTGTAATTAAATGTCTGGAGCTAAACAACTTTCCACTTCAAGTGATATAGAATGTTTACAAATTCTTTTAGATACCTAACGTTATGGTTGAGACATATTTTCATACCTCCAGGATGAAAGTAAAAAAATAGCCTTAATACTTATTACCATGTTTTACAACGGAATAAATTTATTGGTTTCTTAAGTTTTCCATAATGCATGAACAATTTTCATTTGCAAAAATGTGATTTACAAAAAGGCTGCCTTGCATAGGTGCTTATAAGCTTTTTTAGGTTTGTTTTTATTTAGTAAACAGTTCTTGAAATTAAATAATCACAGTAGACATTTGAAAAGCACTTATGATACCTACCTATTAGTTGCATAAAATAAGTCTACTAACCGGTTCAAGAATGCAGCATTGTTCCCATAATGATTTCCCTATTCTTGAGGAATATAACTTTGTATACTACAATTAAATAAGGAAACTACTTTAATTTTTTTTCCATACTACTTATTAAGCAGCTAGATTCTGTATTATTTATAGACCAGAAACTCGTTTATAAAGAAAGGTAAAGCCGTATTTATGCAATGAGTCAACTGGATACTATAAAATACCCCCGCCGCAGCAAACCTGCAGACTAAGCGAATTTCAACTTGTCTGATTAAATTTTTACTAAAATATTTCCATAACTAAGACATATTTATTCCCAATTTAAATAACATTAATTTAACAAGTGCTTAGGTTTGCTGCTATGGGGAAGGTAAAAAGTTTTTTTTTTGACCATACAACAATAGTATAGGATGAAATATATAAATTTGACAAATTTTATCAATATGTATCCATAAACAAGTAAACTACAACAGCTTTAATTTTCTCCATAAGAATAACATGGGAATTTTAAATTACACTATTTTTGAATTTTCTCCGTGACCGTTAGGTATACAACAGCGCTTCAATATACTATATTATTTATTTTTTTAAGCTCTACAAAAGGTTTATAAAAATTTTTTTTGTTGTTTCTAGGGTCAAAAATGGGAAAATCCCATTTTACCCCATAAAAACCCCCATAAACCCCTGTTCCCACGGTCCGATTATGCTGGTTCGCAAACTCGTTTGAATAAACTTAGGTTTACATGTTTGTACAAAATTTCATCAAAATCGGATTATTTTTGCTTGAGTTATTGCGCTAACGGACACATATATATAAATAAACAAAACAAATTTTGAAAAAGAAAAAGAAGATAATGAAATATATTGCAGCCGAAAATGGATATAGGCTAAGGACAATCTTATTGATAATATGATAAAGAACAAAATTAAGAAACAAAAGAAAAAAGAAGAGAAGTTGAAAAAATAATACATATGTCTCCCTCATAACTCTAAATTAAATAAAGCAATAAGGGAAACCTTATCTAAAACACATTTAAAATTACAAAGCAACATATAGATAAAAAACAACGTCTTTAAGATTTTAAATTCAAAAGTTTCCAAACATCAACAAATAACTGAAGAATCATCAAAATTTAACAAAAGCGGCATTTACAAAATTTCCTGTACAGACTGTAACAAGTATTATATTGGCCAAACTAGTAGAAGTTTCAAATGTAGATTCCAAAAACATATACAGGCATTTAAATCTAAAAATTCAACGAGTATGAAATCAAACTATGCAGAACACTTACTAAAAACTAATCATAAATATCAAAACATAGAAAATAATTTATCAGTAATTGAGTTTGAACCAAACAAAGACAAATTATTCATTAAAGAAGAATTCCACATAGAAACCATAAAAAAAGATCCTGAAAACATACTCAATACAATGCAAATCCAAAAAGAAAACCTAATATATGAAACAATCTTATATAATAAATCAAAAGAAAACAACACCTGAACTAACCTATGTACAAGACAAAATTCCAAAATCATATAATAATTTACTTATTTATTATTTACATTTCTATTTATTTACTATTTGTTAATAACTGTGATCATGGGCTAAGAGCCGAAACATGTTAGTTATTCAATAAATTAATAACTTAAAGGGTACTAAATGTTTAATTATTTCTTTCATTTACTAATATATATATATATATATATATATATTTGAACGGATGGTGTTTTTGGCTTCTAGGGACCTCAAAACGAAACATTAAATCAGTCCTGGGTCCAGGTCTTACTATGAGTACTACAGTAATAGCTTATTCCCTATGTGGGAAATTCGCTAAAAGGCATGATGCAAGATTCCATAGTAGTAGGCAAGCCTAACATGGAAACTATCATGATATTACAAACATCTACTTTGCTGGCCTTTAGCGTAATAAGGCCTACTACAAATTAAATTCCACTACAAATTAAAGTATTATTTGATTCTAAAAAAAAAAAAATTAAGAATTAATATTATGTATGCCTAATGTAAGGATAAAATAAATGCTTCATATTTAGTGGTGTTTCTACTAGTCTAGTAATAAGGGGTGTTATTAAATACGTTCAGTAATTTGGTATTTCCAATAATATGGCAAAGCCAAAGCCGCAAACGTGTGTCTACTGTAGTAAGTCTGAGAATCACAAGTAACCTCTGATTTTGAAATGTTGTCAAAAATGTTAAATGTTCAATTGATAACGTTGGGATTTCCATTCATGTTAATAATGAGGTCACAGTTATGATTAATCACACTTATGTTGTCACATTCTCATTTCCCCCCAGATAATTCTCTAATCACATAGATGCATAAAAACTTAGATCTGATCATTCTTACAACTAAACTCCGTTTAAGCTACTCTGATGAGGAATAGTATATAAAGTAGTAGTGTTATTTTATGAGAAAGAAACTAATTTTGATTTTGAGGTTTTTACCAGTCATTGGGCTGTACATAATATTTGTCAACACTCCTCGACTAACTAGTTTTCAATCAATTTGCAATTTTTAATTTTAATCACCTTTTTCATTTTGCTGTACAACATAATCTGTGGCAAGTGTTTTTGATGAGTTCCAACATAACCACTAAAAGTAGAAGATTATGAAGATGATTGTAAGGTGAGTATATTTATTGTTAATTAACTTTGTTTTGTAGTACTATATGAAATATATTTAAGTTCACACAGTTCACACAGCTTTTGCTATTACACACTCTACACTTATTTGCTGGGCTGGCAGCCATTCACATTGCTTCTAAGTGTGAGGCAGTCTCCCAGTCAAACCATATATTTACAATATGTAATGTATATATATATATATGATTGATACAACATTTTTTATTAAATTATTTTAACAAAGATAACCAACTTATTTTTCATACTTCACAGATACAGTATACCCTCTCTCAACCAATCCTCACAAATCAGACCTAGGAGAAACTATATAAATTTGTAAAATACTGTAAAAATAAAAGTTTTTTGATACATGATTGAAGAACTCATCTGCATTATAAATACTTGATTTTATATTATAACATACTGCACTCAAGTAAAGTCATCATGTCATTGACTTAACGTTATTGATTTACTGTCACATCGTAAGACATAGTCTCTTCTATACTTCAAATACTGCACATTTTAAGCTTGAAAATTAAATGCATTTGTTAAGGGATTTTAAGCTTGAAAATTAAATGCATTTGTTAAGGGATAGAATTTTTATCAAGTTGATTGTTAATATATTTATTTATAGAGACAAAACTTATCAAAGCAAAAAAACTATTTACACTCAAGAATTTTCTTTAAAAGTCTGTTATGTTTTTCCTGCTTTTAATTTTTGTGTGGTTCCTTCTAAACAAAACTAGACCTGCACAGACACAATTCTACTTTATTTCTGTGATAAAGATGGTAAGGATGGTTAATTCTAGTGGCGGTTGACCTAGGATAGGTTTTTAGAGGGTCTATTGTATGTATATAGATATTATTATAAATATTATTGTTATTAAATTACAAATTTGTGACTAACCTTAGTATCCTTTATGGAGTGTAAAAAATATAATATTTACTTTTGTTTTATTATTGGTTTCAGGCATCAAGGACATGTAGTTCCGACTCTTTTTTGTGTCCCGTGTGCTCGATCATGGGAGAAAAAAAGTCATAAAATGATTAATACAGAATGTTAACACAAAAATGTTGCAGATTTACAATAAACTGTATATTCTATTTAAGTATAGAGATAGACCAACACAAGTAGACTTCCCATCCTATTGTAAATTTTGAAACTCGTTTTTCGTTTCTAGTTCATGACCGATGACACTGGTGGCTGGTGTTGACGAGATTTTGTTTCTATTACTTTAGAGTTAGTTTCATGATTAGTCCTTTACTGTTTAGTGTTTGGTTATATGACTAGAGGATGAATTATTGTTTATGATTATATAGTTTTATTTGGTTAAATGGGGGTTTAAATGACTAAAATAACAAGAAACAAATTGTAAACAAACACGACCTATACAGTGCACCCGACAGAACTAATGATAAAATGGGCTTCAGCTGTTCCAAAAGGATGGGAAATCTACTATGGGAGTATGTTTGATCTATAACAACCAGATAGATATGATATGACCAGATAGATATATAGATTTATGTTCAACCAGATGACTGAATGTTATTACCCTGATACAATGATAGTGGGGAAAGTTGCAGAAATAGGCTATAGGGAGTTTAAAAATGGCAGCGAAGATCATTTCGGTAGGAATTGTGTTTTTGGTGGGTACCCACTCACAAAAGACCACAATGGAAAAAAAGGATTTCACGGCCATTTTTTTTACACTCCTTAACAAATTTCCAAACATTATCCTCACTCATTGAATTAGGGCATTCAGTCATGAGGCGATGAATGTCGGCATCGGATATGATTCTTGTAATCAAAATATGTAGCACTGACCTTAACTCACACGAGGCGGGAGATTTGATAGTGAACATTTTTAGAAACACAAAGCAAAGCGTACATGTCATCTACAGAGCTGAAAATTGCGCCATTCTTTTCACAAATGATGCCAGTAAGTGGCAAGGAGCCTCGTTGCAATGTACAAGTGAACTACGGATTTATACGCAAAAACCACCCTCGTGTGTGTGTGTATATATATATATATGTATTTTCTTTTGTAAATTTGGCTGCTTTTCTATTCTGAATATAATTCTTAAAACAGGGTGGAGATACTATACGATATGTTAACATGTTCAGTGTTAATTAATTTTAAAAAAATGGATCTTAATGATTTGGTTAAAGTCCCATTTGTCTTCAACCTAATATCTAAGATACCAGAGCTGCAACATTATAAATTGAATTTACAAAGTTTAGGACGTCTTAGAAAATATGTGTTTCAGTACATACCTTCATTTACACTGAAGTACTGAATTAATTTAATTAAATGGTCAAGTGTTTATTAACACAGAGAAGTAAGATACATAGGAAACATTCATTGGTACACTTAAGTCACACATACTACTATAACCCAGAATGCTAACCGCATGGTAAAAAGCGTTAAGTACTCGGAGAGAGCTTTGCCTGTCAACTCGTAGGCAGTGCCACCAGCATACAATGCACCAGCATAGCAACGCTGGTGGCGCTGCCTACGAGTTGACAGGCAAAGCTCTCTCCGAGTACTTAACGCTTTTTACCATGCGGTTAGCATTCTGGGTTATAGTAGTATGTTTTCTGTGACTTTAGTCATGTCTAGCATCAGTCGCTTGTGCCTAGTGCAAATTCTATTGGTCGTCCCCTTCCGCTCTACTCTTCCCCAGCGCTCACGCTGTAGGAAGAGCCTGTGTGCTACAAACTGCTTTTGTAAACAATAGCCGTTCAGACTCTTCCTTGCTCGGTACTAATATATTCCTGCCCCACCATTCCGGAGCTAAAAGCACATGGTTGTTCCATGAGCATGTTTGCTCTGTATCTTACTTCTCTCTCTTTGTCATTAACAGTTTGTTACGCCCGTATGTATACTGATCTCTAGTGTTCAACAAATAGTTTTAATGAAGGATGAGAGAAAATAAGAAAAGCTTTATCCGGGATATTGTCCGCTTACACGTTAAAAGTCAAATCTTTATGTTTAAAAAAAAAACTATGTAAGAATGCAATAGCAGTAGCAGGTAAAGATACCCAGTTTATAGATATTCAATTCAAATATCTTTATTCATTTTTATGTACATTGTACAATAAATAGTGATACTTTCACTGCTTATACATTATACACAATAACATAGTACATGTTTAAAAGATTATATAATCATGGAAAAACAGATCAAATACAACAGCTGGAGGCTATGTGAAAGGTAGTTTTGGTTTATAGAAAAGGATTTTAACTGTACAAGCTCTCAAAAAATTTAAAAACAATTAACTAGAGAACATTTTGGTTGGTGTGTAGTTTCTAAAACGCACATCAGTACCTACTCAAAAACTTTGATGAAAAAAAATCAATTGAAAGTTCAATATTTATCTATGATAATGAATTGAATTCAATCCAATAAGATTTACGAAGACTGTCCGTAAATTAAGGTCACCATCGGACTTCTTTTGCGGAGTTCGCAGAAGGCTGTACCATTGACTATACACAGAATAGACTTCCCATGTAACGTAAAAATTTGAAGCCAAGAAAATAGGTGGTTCAGTGTATTTGGTAAAATATAAATCAATGCAGTATCATAGCAAACAGCTGATTGATTTATCACTTAACACAGAATATTGTCATTAGTTGGTGAACATCTCAACAGATTGCACCACGTTCTTTTGGCTTCACATTTTTACATTACATGGAAAGTCTATTCTAAGTATAGTCAATGGCTATGACACACATTTGCCCAACAAGGTACTACCCTAGATTGTCAATAGAAATATTTAGAAAATGCTTTGTACTGTTTTCTATTGTAAGTAGTTACGTCACAATTGTATAATTGTTTCTTTCAAGAATAAATAATTTTGTTAATATTTTAATGTGTTGTTATTTCCAAAGATATGAATAAACCTTGTTGTCATGAATTCATGAACACAAATATCACACACTCTATTATACCTACTGTTATAATATCCGTCTGGCTGCAAAACATAATATCATTTTATTTTTATTAATTTCAGATATTTAATTGTATAGGTACCTATCGCAAAGTTAAATTTTGTATGGTTTTTGGACTTTATTTCATAACTAAATGTTGCATCTTAAAAAGTAGTACTCGATCAAACATGAACATCTACTGATGGTTACAAATAGGCTGTAGAGCAGAACCAAAATCTTCACAGCTTAGTAAACATATGTCAGTTTGAGTTAGATGAAAACTTTCTCTGATTTATTGTTTTTTATGGACATTTTCAATGTGGTACTTTCTCACTTAGTATGTTTTTAATACTGAATTTTCTGCCTCTTTTTTATTTAGATTTTGTCAAATATGGTACTTGAAAAAATTCTTAATTTAAAATATAAATATTTCAACTTTTCGTTTCCATCAAAATAACAAATACTTTGTTTGTAAATTCAATTTCTGTTAATCTATTCATGTAAATGTATTTTATTTAATCAAAAGAAGAATTTAGTATTAGTTTTGAACCTAGTAGAGTAGTATTGAGTACATGTATTTAGAAAACTCTTTTAACGCATTTGCCATGTCAAACAGAACTAGTTCATGACTGAGAACTGAAATAGGCCAGCATTTAAATAAACATAAACCCACTGTTTCTAATGGATCTATTCTGCTTTGTCCAGTGTTAGTCCAATAGGAATAACGTGAACTGCTTATGTCAAAAAGCAATAAGAACAAAACTAAGAATAAAAGGACAAAATGAAAAAATTTATAATTTTAGAAACAATTTTGACCCCTTACGATAGAGTATAGTATTTTTTTTTTTACAAAATGGGGCAGATACCAGGTAAAAGTTAGTGCATCAACTCCCTATTATTTTTGTGTACAACATTTTTTTGTTGGTAAAATTAAGTTTAATTTATTGAATATTTTGTCCGTGTTTTTAATGAGTTTGTGTTGTGTAGGTCCACAACCAACACTATCTACTGGGCCTAGTTGTGTCTCTTGTCATCGCCATTCTTCTTTCATTGGGTCTCTATCCCTCCAGTTAACTCCCCCTTTCTCTTCCTTATCCCTATCTGTTGAACATAGACTCTGAGGTTGCTATGCTTACAAAGCATTAAAGACAGTAAATATAAAAATTATTGTAAATGTTATCTTAGCTGAAAGCATGATATCGTGTGTACAGTATCGATATGCCATATTCCATGAGGCATTAAGTGGACAGTAAAAGAAAAGGAGTTTTCCCAATCGCCAAATATAATACCTAACATCTGTATTTTAAAACTCTGCATTTCATCTTGATAAAGTATACAATTTTGTACAATATGTTTGATTATTTTTAGTAAGGGTTTGTTGGGATTCAGTAGTGTCTACTAAAGGGGCTCAGCACTAAATATTTTGTGGAAGTGAGTTTTAAATTCGTAATATGTTCCCCTCTGTGTTCCTATCTTTCCATTTCCTTCGTCTTTTTTACGACCAAAGCAACATACAACTGCGAAGGTAAATTTTGAAGGGGTGATTGAAAATGGCTTGGGTTTTGGTGGAATAATTTTGGTAGCTTAAACATATAACACTAAAACTAATGTATCTAATGTTGAACAAAAGTTTTAATATTAACTTTATTCTGGAGTAGTTAAAGGTGTGGGTCCAGGAAGGGCAGTGGTATGTGATTTCATGATTTACTCTACTAATACGTATCATTTTATGCACACAATTTCTAGCCTGTAAATATCATATAATAATGTACATCATTCACAATAAAAATCAACAGTCAGTTCCGTATTTTTCATTAGTATCTATTCAACCAGCTGAGCACAATAAACAGGCAAAAGATGTTCAAGGTATTAATACAATATTTATGTTTGATACAAAACTCACTTAAAATCAGAAACTTCCTTCCATACTATATCAAATGATTTTCAATTATTTGGGATACATTTCTCCCCTTTATACTGCAACAGATTTTCAAATTCAGTAAATCTGTGTGAGTTTTGATTCTATTACCTGTAGGGGTGGAGTAACAGAAATTAATGAAGAGATTTACAACCTCTTTTAACCTTAAATTCAACCTTCCATATTGGCCTCAGATCTGCACATGAATAAACTGCAGCGCTGCCCTTTACTCTGTCATGTTACTGACTCATTACTCTACAATTACCAATAACGCCCTCCAACTCTACACTTGATATTTTTATACTTATACTCTAATAATTTACAAAACTTTAAATGTTTAACAGTTATTGATTTCGACCAGTGGCAAAGGATATCTCAGGTTTATTTTATTGCATCAGTAATATGTACCTTATTGTTCTTTTTATGATTAGTTTTAACTTATGTCTCACAAAGTCTTCTTCTTATCTGCTCATAGACCGATCAAACCTAAAAGTTAAGATTACAGGATCAATCTTTGATTAACATTTTACATAACAAACCTAACAAAACAGGTTTGTTGGGGAAAGTGTGCATGTTGTACATGTAAGCTGTTTAAGCTGATTGCTCCTACCACAGGAATGTTTTTTGTGGTTTGTTTTAATTTTTCTGTTTGCCTCATCGACTAACCTAAAAAAATACTTAGTTCGTAGTAAAGTTTTCAAAGTCCGTTAAACAGTTTGTTTTACTTGTAGTAGTTATTCAATTCAATTCAATTAAAAACATCTTTATTCATTAGTATATATTGTATATACAAGAATGTGTCAAATTCATCATTACATAAAATATAAACAAGAATAAAAGACAAATACTATATACAAGAACAAAACAACAAATAATACAGTCATCTCTCAAGTAGGTATAAAACATATTATAAGTTCTGTCACAGAAAATCACCGTATATCCTTCTCAGAGGTTCTAAACCTCCTACTTAATATCTTCATTGAATATCGCTTATGTTCAATTATTTTCTAGAACAACGTTCTTATTTTTGGTATGAGATAAATATTTAAGAGCAACATTTAATGTTTAGTTATATTTTACAAATTAAATAAACAAAATGACTGACTACAGAACTTATAATTGTGAAACACAAATAAAAACATTAGAGGCAAGCTTAAGTTTTTCTCATAATGTGTATCCACATAATTTTCAAAATATCTTGGTAGATATAATAATAAAATTAACCCTCTGGCATTCTAGGACGCAACATATCCGTCTTGCCGCTAATGCGCTCTGACATTCCTAGTTGGAACAGCTTCTTCCTAGGACATTGCTACTAGTTCGACATTATTCCAAGGGATCACAGTACTGGTCGATTTAATAATTTTTTTTTGTCTATCTGCAATAGTCATTGTGTGTTTTTAGTGTCTTTGGTTGCCTAACCTGTTTTCGAAACCAAAAATATTAGTAAACCACATGTGAGAGTTTTGAGTGTTTCGGTTTTGATTTTTTAAGTTTTGTGCCAAAAAGCTGTGACTGTCTTGTTGACGATCGAGTGAAATAGACCGGTATATTGGTAATTGTGAATTGTCTTTCAATCATTCTATGGAGGAAGATAGTAATTTGAGGCAAAATAATACTGAATAAGGAAGTTAAGGTTGTGAGTCAATAAAAGAGCCAAAAAGTAGGAATCCCTGTGTGTAATCAGGTAGTGCAATTTTGGTATGCCAATGGGTTAGTTGTGGTTTTCTTAACTGTTTGTCACAGAGTTTGTTACATTTAGAGGTATTTAAGTTTTCACAGTGAAGCCCTTGGTAGTTCACATAGCCCTTTTCCAATTCCCATATTTTTAGGTTTTAGGTCTTCCAAATCCTGTCTATCATACCTCTCACATTGATTGTTTTGATTTAATTAGGTTAACTGAGAAAGTTTTGTGTATAGTGGTTTTGAAGGTATCTCAATCCAAACCATAATTAACATTATTTAATTGGTCAAAATCTTATGGTTTTAAAATATTTCAAACAAAATATGTAGTGGGTTATATTCATCATCACTTCGCTAAATGAAAGTTTCCTTTGAATTTTCCCAAAGTTCCCTCTATCGTGTGGATGTGGTTGTTGATGGTTCTTGCTCTGTCGTAGAACGTGGTGTTTGCACTGCCGCTGGTGGTGTTGTTCATCGCCATGACCATCGCCTTCCATCCAACTCTGGCGCCTCTCATGGGTACCTCGGACTCTTAACTCGACCTCAGTGCCTTGCCCCACGCACCACGCCGACCCCGGCTCCATTGTCTCTAATGCTTATCACCGTTATCATTACAAAGTAGGATAGTTTAGACGATATATTTTATAACAATATTCGAGCTTATGATTTTGCAAATTGAAAACGTGTTTCTGATCTTTTTATCTACGGAGCGCACATGTCAGTGTATATGTACTGCCACAAAATTACCTGGAAACCTTTACAATGTATACAGAGCCCTTAAAAAAATGTGCCACGCATTTTGCTAAACGTGTGATAAGTGACTACTGTACATACTATAAATTATATAAATATTATAAATATATAAATAATTTATCGAAGTACGAGATAAGTTTAAACCTAGATTTCACTGTGTCACGGATGATATATAGTCATCAATCACTACAATATAAATAATTTTTTATTTAGTTTTTGACTAGTAAATGGGTAGTTTAAGCAATAAAGTTAAAAACAAAAAGTCTTTTAAAAATCCTCAACGTGGCAGTTTTGTACACATGTGAATTTAGGTTTTTGTCGTACGATGTATATAAACTTCTCAATTTGATTACATGAGCTGTCTGACTACAATGAGTGGTAATATGTGTCGAGCTTATTTTGTTATACTGATTCCTTTATACTGTATTTATTATTATTTCATGGCACAGCAATATATTGTTATCTGTATCATCTGTTATATATCTAGTCAAGGACTGGCTATACACACGTATCTTCTGTATTTAAAAAATCCAAACGCAAACTTTTTACAATTTATTGACATTATATGTTTTTTCTTTTATAAACGACCAAAAATCAAAATGTTTGATTGAATTTAAAATATTTAAAAAAATCATCAGTAGTTTACTTTCATGATTTTAAAATCTTTACATACAAGAGATCCACTGCAGTTAAATATAATATGTGTTTACGATAGATGGACTGCTTTAGCAAAAACAATCAACATACTATTACCATATATTTAAATTAATTTTTGTAGCTTTGGGTGTAGATTAGAACTTTATTTTTATTTTATTTATATGTCCAATCCAGGATGTTTACTAATACATAAAAGTATGCGCTGTAAACATTTTCAAATCTATACTATCAAAGTATTCACAAAATTTAACACAGTTTCATCCCTGCACCTATTTATTTGTAGTCTTAGCTAAAATAATGCAAACCATTTCAAACAATGAGGGTTGTAGTAAAACACTAAAAGATAGATTATATTGATAATACTTGTTATTTCTCAGTTATTTTCATTTTTAACGTTGATAGATTTGGTTTTGCTAATACTTTTACTTTCACTACAGAAATTCAACTTTTTTATTTTCACCTAACTTTAATTATTATATAAGCTACACATGTTCATATTTGTTATGAATAATTTAATTGTTTCATTTTTTAAGTATCATATTCTCATGTTTAGCATTTTGAACACTAATGTATATTACACAAGGACCACAACTGATCAATTATATATTCCTAGAATCTCATATTTTCTTTGATTGTTATACTGCTTTTTTACTTTATTCTATGCCTACTAAAGACATTTTTGTATCAATAAACTGTAGGTCTCAGTTTGTAGCTAATAGAACTGGACTAGCGATGTGGATTATTTTAAACCGTAGAAGTAGAAAAGAAAGTTAAACCATATGAGGGTCAGCAGCTATCGGTATTTTGATTCATGTATAAAATTAGTTGTTTTGCCTTTTGTATTTTGTGTGCCAAATTCGTTTGCCATGTCTTTCCCAACTGACGCAATCTGCATTTATGTGTTGTTACCATTAATGTGTCAGTTATTTTTTCCTCCAATGGACAATGAAACTACTACACCCCTCTTTCGTAATATTTTATTTTACTAATACATTTTTAATAAGAATACTGATAGACCTTATCTTTTTGGAAACTCAGGTTTTGGTAAGTGAATAAAAAAAGTTTGTTGATTATAGTGTTATTATTTTGTTATTAATTTTTAACGTGATCATCTATGTAATAGAAAAATCAAGGCACTTTACGCCAAGTAGATTAAAATTTGTATGACTACTGTTTATTTCAATATGTGAGTACGTCTCAATCGAAGAAACGCTTTCACTAATTTGTAAGTCATTTAGGAAGTAAGAAAATCTGTTACAGTGTTGTGTAAGTAAGTTGTAGAGGAAGAAGTGAGGATAGGACTGTACCTTTGTTTTTTCTTATTGTTGTTAAAAGTAAGTTAATTGCATCGGTCATACCGAATCAATTAAAAAAAGTTATTATTTATTTCAATATTGTAATTAGTATTTAGATGTAATCATTTGTTAATTATTCTCCTATATTCGTTTCTGTTGTATCTGTTTATCTCTATTTATTTGATATTTTGTTTTATACTATGCTGTTTATTTAAAAAAAAACTAACAAAACTGTTTATTAAGTCAGAGGTTTTAGCCATATTACCTTATTACACTTGAAACCGTTTGGAAATTTTGTACTTTGTATGAATAGGATTGTGTCACCGTGTTGTTGTATTCTTCTTGTTGTCATGTACTATTGATTAACTTGGATATATTGTCAAATTGTTTCCCATTTGAAACATTAAATATTCTAATAAACTGCCCTAAAATTACTTCCTCTTTTTATTTCCTGGTAAAGAAATGGTGATTTAACGACCAGACAAACTTACTGATCTGCTTATTGGTCTTGCCATTGAGATTGCATTCTGGGATGGAAAAGTACATAGTGGACAGATAGTAGCAGATAGTGGACTTGGACCAGTAGATAGTTCATCGTGTGACAAGAGAGTTGCAGAGATTAGGGGGTGGAATGAAGTATGGAGTTAATGGTGTGTCAGTGAAAGAGAGGGGTAGTAGAATTAGCAGAATTTTATCCCCCTGGAATTCTACTCCCAGAGCAAATCTGATGTCACAGCCATTAGGGGTGAACTTTAGAGTTGCACAATATGAGTATGAATAAGTTAAATGTGGCATTTAAAGTATCTTTTCTTGGTTATGGATTTAATCTGAACATATCAAATCATAAAACCTAGAGTGTACGGCCCAGATTTTTACCCTCGGATACTCCCGAATTTTTGACCCTGGAACTTTACCCCTGGTATTTTACCCTCTGACCAGATATAAAATTTAGTTTGAATGGTTAATTTTTTACATAATAGGCATTTTTTAGAAAAATACCCTTAGACAGTTTATTATTAACCTTTGTTTATATTAAATTTTAAAAACAAATTTAATTTTTAAACGAACTATCAACATTTTAACCAAGCATTGACAATAACAATGTATGTTTTCATTATTTTAAGCCTGGCTTCAATTTCAATTTCTGTATTCATTGAGAAGTATACATAGTACAGCATTTGAATAGTGTCAAAGATTACAATTACTGTATTATAAATTAAGATACAAATTAAAAAATACAACTCCCTATTTTTATATAGATGTTTTCTTAATGTCTAGTATTCTCGAGGGAGGTGGAAAATTCTTCTATGGAATAATGGCCATGATTATTGAGAAACGTTTTAGTTTGTTTTAAACTTGTTGTATATTTTAAATTTTTAATTCCTCTAGGGATATATTAAAAAAAATACCACCAAATGATGATTTTCTTCATAAAACTTTAATCTGGGCATATTTTGCAAAAATTGATTTTTTTCCTTTTTTCATATTGGTGCTCAAGTAGTTTGGATACATAGTATGAGGATAAAAAAAAATTAAAATTGATTCAAAAATATATTGCACATAAAAAGTTGGTGTGTTTAGCTGTGTTAGTGCTCTTTCACCACTGCTCTTTTTCTTTGTTTTAATATTTGAGCTAGATTGATTTGAGTTGTTACTCCAAGTAGACAGATACCGAATGAATAGGTGAATGAATCTATGCAAAGTAAACGTTTTTCAAAGTTTCAACATCACAGTAAAGAGACATTTTTGAAAGGGAGAAAATTAAATTAGGCGGAAATAATTAAATTAGTATAAACATATAGGCACAATTCACTTCTAGGTGTACATACTAAAGCACTGCTTATGTCCATTGGCCATTGTCCATTTTAAATACGATTAAAGTATAACTATAAAAATATATGATGAAGCCGATATACGTTTCAAATTAATGTATTCATTTTATATGCTGTGAGCACTGAGTAGTGCAGTGTCGGTATTGGTGGCCGGCGCGGCTGCAACGCTCAACGCACTGATGTAATGCCGACAACTCATCTCTCTGCTCTGAAGGCACACGCGACACACAAATCTTATCAGTGATACATTATCATGTATCGTGTGGTACTATCTAACCACGCTTGAATGATAAATTTCAGTTTTATATATTTTATGGAGGGGTTTTACAAATCCAAAACTTATAATATATTTTGTTTAACAAGGTTAATAAACAAATTTTAATTTTTAAGTAAGCTACATATTTTAAATATATTATCGCTTCTCCAAGTCGAGAGATAAAACTGCGGATGGTCCATATGTGGAATGATCACGGCTATAGCAGAGACCGGTTAGGCAGTAACAGCGACGAGTGCCAAATGTTTACAGAACATATGGTCGGATAAGGTCGACGACGATTGACCACCATATTAGGCACGAGACTCGCCTGGCTGCCTGAGTGAATGGTGATGTCGGTCGAAGCGGGCCAAGGCGACCCATGCACTATGACTAATAACAGAATCCCCCTACTAAGGGAGAGATTATTTTTAAACATGTGCGATCTTTTGACTTTGCGCTAGGAGGAGAGGAGCGCTCTCGTCTCAGTCTAGTGAGATACGCGGACGACGCCGGACCTATTATATCGCGCTATCTGTGTGAACTGCGGTACGCATACTGCCTATCTGTATATTACAGGCGTAACCGGCCGAGTTGTGGAGTCGTTCAACAGGTAGCGTTAGCGTTCGCTATACAGAATGATGAACCCAGAACTTCCCGTCTCCGTGGCCATATCGCCGGTCACCGGAGCCGGAGTCAGTAACAACAGTGTAGATCAGGACGAGGATATGGCGGCGACGGAGCGTGAGCTGGCGGAGGACGCTCAGTGGAAACGTATACAACAGAACACGTTCACGAGATGGGCCAACGAACATCTCAAGACGGTTAGCAAACACATAGGTAATCTGGAGACGGATCTGTGCGACGGACTCAGGCTCATCACTCTGATAGAAGTTCTCTCTGGGAAACTCTTGCCCAAACACAACAAGCGACCGACGTTCCGCTCCCAGAAACTGGAGAACGTCTCTGTGGCTCTCAAGTTCCTGGAGAACGAAGGGATCAAAATCGTCAACATCGGTGAGTGACAGTTTGACATTTGTAGGTTATGTTGTGTTGTGATGTTCCCGCGACGGCGCCGTACGCTGTACCTGTACCGTGTTATCAACTGGGCGCCGCGCCGCTCCTCTTATCAGAAAATCCGGACCCGGCATACATTACCGTAGTGCTTAGTGGACGAAGTAGTGACTTTGAAATCCAAAGTCTGTACTAAGGTACTGTCGTGTATTTAAATTCGATTTGTCAACTCAAAATTTAATTTTCTCCACTAACTTCTCTGGCTGTTCAGTATTTTGGTCGATAAGAAGCGTCCTCAAAATGAAATACAGTATAAACACTATTTGTGATCAGGTGATATTTAGTACTGAGTAAACAAATGTTCTGTTCAGTTTATATGCCTGTGTGTTATGCTACGATTAATACTTATCCACTTGCCTATTGTTATAAAAACTAAGTTACAAACGTGAACAATTTGAAGTTAAGAAAAATTTTAAATTTTTAACAGAATGTAAATACTGTCCTAACTAACTAAACCGTATTAATTGTAAATTAAAAGCTAACTTTATGGCCATAGCTTAACACATGGCCTAATTAGTGTTTACTTATATACTATCGGGTGTATTAGGGTGTCACAGACTTTAGAGATTGTAGATCTGGCCCAGCAGCAAATGAAAACTCCATGATCGTTTTGAATATTTGCCTATAAACAAACTAATGTTTAATGATGTTTGAATTGTTTGTAAATCTATAACTTACTTTTCCCGATACATTAAATCCCTTACATTAATATAACTTAATAATACAATTCACAACAAATAACCTGTTTGCCAGCATAGTAGCCGCATTTATTTATTTTGCAAAAATAAATAGGGTGTTTAGTCAAAAATTGTATCTCGGATTTTTTAAATATTGTTCAATAGGTAATACTAAAAATTAGAAATACAAATATATACTGTAAGGAATATTTTTTATGTTGAATATTAATGGAGATATGGAGCTTGTAATTACAGCAGTAAATTTGTCATATTTTGGTACCAATTCACATGAACATGAACATTATGTAATCATTAACATCATGTAACATTAACAGAATACATTTATCGTTGTGTTCTATGACCCGGCGTGAGTGTACACACTCTCAACGAGTAGTGCGCCGCCAGCGCAAGGCATCAAAGATACGAATTCACCCCAAGCGAATTAACATATCGCATTTAGGCTAGTACTCACTAGGACACCCGGTCGCTTATCAACCGGCGACCTGGTTGACGAGCGACTAAGTTGATGATTGAACGTTTTATTGCTGGGTGGTACACACTAGGATACCTAGCACTTTCAACCAAGCTGGAAATCAATCAAAATTTGGTGGGGATAGACAATTTGTTTTGTTCTGGTTCACGCTTAAGCCTATCAAAGTGTGAACCTAAATGACAACACCATGCCCCCGACGAAGAGGAAATAGCTGCCGAAGTTTTGATTATATTTAAAACTTATGAAGTAGAGAAGAAGAAAGAAATTGTTTAGAAGATTTTGGGTTAAAGGGTGGCTTTAACGTAGCCACAAACGTGTGTTCGTGGCTTTAAATAGTTACAGCCACATCGGCCCTCCTACGAGCTTTTCGACTTAAAAATCCTCAGGATTTTAAGAACTATTTACATATTTCAGATGACAGTTTCCGTCATACTAAGCAACCAGTGACACCCGTGACACCTCACATAGAAAAATACCCCCGCCGCAGCAAACCTGCCGTCTAAGCGAATTTCCATTTGTCCGAATTGATTTTCAATTGATCTATTTAAATAACATTATTAGGTTTAACGAGTACCTAGGTTTGCTGCTACAAGGAAACTAATAAAGTAGTGTGTTTTTAGTAAAATATTGATAGCTTACTATAAAATAAATAAATTTGCCAACTTTGATCAAAATATATTCATAAACAAGCAAACTTCAACATTTTACAATATTCTCCATAAGAATAACATGGGAATTTTAAATTTACCATTTTTTTAGTTTTCTCCGTAACCAATAACCGTACAAAAACACTTTGATATACTGAATTGTTTGTTTTTTTAAGCTCTTTAAGAAGGTTTAGAGAAAAATTGGGAAATTTTGTGTTTTGAGGGTAAAAAGTGAGAAAAACCCATTTTTACCCCATAAAACCCCCTATAAAACCCTGTTCCCATGGTCCGATCATGCTGGATCGCGAACTCATTCAAGTTTATCCCGCCTTACACCTTCAAACCAAATTTCATCAAAATCGGATAAAAATTACTCAAGTTATCGTGTTCACGGACACATATATATATATATATATAAATCTATATATATACCTATATATATATATATATATATATATACATATATAAAAATTTGAACGAATGGTGTTTTTGGCCTCTGGGGACATTAAAATGAAAAAGTAAATCGGTCCCGGGCCTAAGTCTTACCATGAGACCTACGGTAATAGCTACTTCCCTATAGGGAAATTCGCTAAAAGGACGTCAGATTGAGATTTTAGCATGGTTTTGTTTCGTCAGTTCATTTTTCGTTGTACTGCGCATGCGCTAAAGGCTGTCTCATGTTAAGTTGAGGCAGACTACCTGACCAAGAGGGTGGAACAGGACAATGGCTAGGCCATCCCTCCCGACCCTTGGAGTAAATCCCATTAACCACACTTCACTGAATACTTCACTTAAAAGCGTAAATATATTGATTAATTGAAAATATAATCAATTCATCATATCTAAAAATAATGTATTCTAGGTTATAAAAAAACTAAATTTTTCATTTTCGTCCCATGCAAATCGGCCAACTTTAAGTATTAAATCAAACTTTTCTCCTTATAACTAAGTACAATATTTAATTTTAAATTACTAATAGTTTATATTCTGTATTACACTTCGTTCATAATATTTATATGGTTTTAGGGGAAGAAATCTATCACCTCCACTTGACCCTTACCTTTAAAATAATAGCTCAACAGGTGATCAATATAATCAATATACATTAAATAAAAAAGATGTTAGGGGAACTTCTCCTCAAACCTCCTAAATATTGTGAAGAAGTAAATTGTGTAGTTATTACAAAAAGGTACGAGATTTTTAAGTTAGTGAGTTAGGCCCTACAGTTCAACTTTCTCTGCGTTAGGAATAATAAAAGTATGCTCTATAATATTCTAAAACGACTTAATTATATTAATATAATTATTATATTCAGTATATACTACCTAATTAGTATTATCAAAGATTACATATGCTAACGCCATATGTAATCTTTGGTATTATTGATCATCGACCTAATATGATCATGATGACCCTTTTCCCTGCCGAAACAGCTGTAATTTAGTTGGGTACATAGTTGTAACATAGTTGCAACCGGACGTCCGAACTATTAAGAGGCTACGCATAGCGTACGTGAATCTACTTCTCAGAAACAAATTTCGCGGTATGGTCCAGCGACAGCAATGCAATAGTGGTGAGTCAACACCGAAAAAAGACACATAGGAAAATATGTGATTTGACACAATGGATTGTTACGTATAAAGCGAAATTGCGAAGATCTTCCGAGATAGCAGCAACATCCGCGATTACCCAGTGTAGCTGTAATTTTTTACTTTACACAACAGCATTCGAAACGCCGTTAATGAGTGAAAACCTCGATTGTAGGCTTTTGGTGCCGTTACCAAAACTTATGTAGGGTACAACCGGTACAACTTGATACACACTGATGGTGGCTAGTTATTTGATTTAGTTCACAATTACATATTACCCTTGCGATTAATCAAACCCGTTATTTAAGCCACATGGCTATTAATCTCACTTCTTTAATGTATAAAATGTAAAATAAAAACAGCTAACAAATATATAATTAAAATCCATATATAAATATATCATTCTGAACAACCTACAGATAAAACTCTAATTTTATTTATATTGATAGATGCACTATTAATACCGACTTATAAATTAATTTTGTACTACAAGAGACAAACTAGAAGTTTGTTTTAATATTCAAGTTGGCCGATTTGCATGGGACGAACATGAAACATTTTGTTTTTTTTATAACCTAGAATACATTATTTTCAGATATGACGAATTGATTATATTTTCAATTAATCAATATATTTACGCTTTTAAGTGAAGTTTTCAGTGAAGCGTGGTTAATGGGATTTACTCCAAGGGTCGGGAGGGTCCGTCGAAGGACCGGCCTAGCCATTGTCCTGCTCTACCCTCTGGTCAGGTAGTCTGCCTCAACTTAACATGAGACAGCCTTTAGCCGTCTTTAGTTGATCAACTTGGTCGCTGAAGCGTACACACTCTAGTTTTTTGAGAAATCTGATTGCCCGGCGATAAAATGGTTGATCGGAAACCCCCAGGTTTTCGATACATGTCCGAAAACCAAAAGGTTGCCTGGCAACCTACAAATCGCCCTCAACCAAATTGACAGACACGTACACACACGGCGATATTTGTGCAATTTGGTCGCTCGTCAACCAGATCGCCGGTTGATAAGCGACCGGGTGTCCTAGTGAGTACTAGCCTTAATTCCAACATAGAGATGAATTTTACCCAAAAACAAACAGCTATTTTTAAAATTATTTAAAAAAATGTAAATATTTTTTTTTAATTTATAAAAAAATTAAAGTTGAAAAATTTATAATTTTAAATAGCTAGTGATCGTAATCTTATTTTTCTACACCTGAATGCCAATTTTGGTGAGAGTCGCATTACCCATTCCCCCTGTGAATTGGTACCGAAATATGACAAATTAACACATTTCAAGATCCACATATCCCTTAATATTAAACATAAAAAAATATTTCTTATTATATTTATATTTCTAATTTTTTGTCTAATTAAACAATAACAAATAATCCGAGATCAAATTTTCTACCAAACACCCTTATATACGAAAAGGGGAAAGTATTGCCAAAGAATCCCGTTTATATACGTGAGCACGATTTTGCTGGAAATGCCACGTCATTGCTATCGGAATTTTAAATACAGATGGAAAATAACAGTTAATGC